CAAAGCAATTGCAAGAGAGAAAAAGTCCCTCAGCCTTTGGAGGAGGCTCTTGGCAGCTGTGAAAGAAAGGTTTCCGTACAAGGACGATGTTACGAGTCGTTCGGCCAAGTGGACTACTATAGACAAAGGCATCCAGTCTCTGAGGGAATCGGCCATCGTAGAGATGATCTATCACATCAAGCCGAATAACGGGGATACACCTATAGATCCAGATGAAGTTGAATGTACACGACCCATGTGGCGAAAACTTACACGGAATGCACCGTCATCATATGCCCATTCATTGGCAACAGTGACCTGGAATGACATAGTACCACTAACAGTGGATGAAATGGTTCATAAACTCCGAGAGTTCGAAGACAATCTCACTCCTTCCATCATCTCAGCTGTGAAAAAACTGTCCCAGGACCTCGACAAATTGAGGGACGATGTATCTGATTTATCCAGCTCCTCACGTGTACCAACACGCGTCTCAGCTATTAACAAAAGACGTCCTATTGTTCAAGAGAGGAGATACAGAAGGTATACGCCACGGGGTACCCTATGGTTTTACCTGCTGGATCACGGAGAAGACATGACAAAGTGGGATGGAAAACCTACTTCAGCTTTGGAGGAACGGGTGAGTGAACTGAAGAGGGGAGCAAGGGCCAAGACTGATCGTCCCATGAGAGCTACGGCTTCAGTCTCTGGTGAGCAGTTTCCCAGATGGAGTGGAAGAGCTGATTTTACTCCAGCTCCTGTGATAACGAAGAATAATCCCTTTCAACACGACTTAAGTGTCCAATGCTGTGACGACCATTAGAGGGGCCCTGCCTCCAGCCAGGTGGAGGTAGGGGACAATCGGATTTACTGGACTGTGTGGATCAGATGGCCTGGCACATCAGTCCCACAGAAGTATAAGGCTCTAGTAGATACCGGTGCACAGTGTACCCTGATGCCATCAAGCTGTCAAGGGGTGGAACCCATCTATATTTCTGGAGTAACAGGAGGATCCCAAGAGTTGACTGTGCTGGAGGCTGAAATCAGCCTGACTGGGAGGGAGTGGCAAAAGCACCCTATTGTGACTGGTCCAGAGGCTCCATGCATCCTCGGCATAGACTACCTCAAGAGAGGGTACTTCAAAGACCCAAAAGGGTACCGGTGGGCTTTTGGTATTGCTGCTTTGGAGACTGAGGAAATTGAGCAGCTGTCCACCTTGCCTGGTCTCTCAGAAGATCCCTCTGCTGTGGGGTTGCTGAAAGTTGAAGAACAACAAGTGCCAATTGCGACCACAACAGTGCACCGGCGGCAATATCGCACCAACCGAGACTCCCTGATTCCCATCCATCAGCTGATCCGTAGACTGGAGAGTCAGGGGGTGATCAGCAGGACCCGCTCACCCTTCAATAGCCCCATATGGCCAGTGCGAAAGTCTAATGGAGAATGGAGACTAACAGTAGACTATCGTGGCCTGAATGAAGTCACACCACCATTGAGTGCTGCCGTACCGGACATGCTAGAACTTCAGTATGAACTAGAGTCAAAAGCAGCCAAGTGGTATGCCACGATTGATATTGCCAATGCATTTTTCTCCATTCCTTTGGCAGCAGAGTGCAGGCCACAGTTTGCTTTTACTTGGAGGGGTGTCCAGTTCACTTGGAACCGACTGCCCCAGGGGTGGAAACACAGCCCTACCATTTGCCATGGACTGATCCAGACTGCACTGGAACAGGGGCAAGCTCCAGAACACCTGCAATACATTGATGACATTATTGTGTGGGGCGATACAGCGGAAGAAGTCTTTGAGAAAGGGAGGAAAATAATCCAAATCCTGCTGAAAGCCGGTTTTGCCATAAAACGGAGTAAGGTCAAGGGACCTGCACAGGAGATTCAATTTTTGGGAATAAAATGGCAAGATGGACGTAGACAGATCCCCACAGATGTGATCAACAAGATAACAGCAATGTCTCCACCAACTAATAAGAAAGAAACGCAAGCTTTCTTGGGTGCAGTGGGGTTCTGGAGAATGCACATCCCAAATTACAGTTCGATTGTAAGCCCTCTCTATCATGTGACCCGGAAGAAGAATGATTTTAAATGGGGCCCTGAGCAGCAACAAGCCTTTGAGCAAATTAAACGCGAGATAGTTCATGCAGTAGCCCTTGGACCAGTCCGAACCGGACCAGATGTAAAAAATGTGCTGTACACTGCAGCTGGGGAGAACGGTCCTACCTGGAGCCTCTGGCAGAAAGCTCCAGGGGAGACTCGAGGTCGACCCCTCGGCTTTTGGAGTCGGGGATACAAAGGATCTGAGGCCAGCTATACCCCAACTGAGAAAGAGATACTGGCAGCCTATGAAGGGGTTCGAGCTGCTTCGGAAGTGATTGGCACTGAAGCACAGCTCCTCCTGGCACCCCGGCTGCCCGTGCTGGGCTGGATGTTCAAAGGCAGGGTCTCCTCTACACATCATGCAACTGATGCTACATGGAGTAAATGGGCTGCACTAATTACACAACGAACTCGAATAGGAAATCCCAGTCGTCCAGGCATTCTAGAAGTCATCATGGACTGGCCAGAGGGCAAAGATTTCGGAATGTCACCAGAGGAGGAGGTGGTGCGTGCTGAAGAGGCCCCACCATATAATAAACTGTCAGAAAGTGAAAAGCAGTATGCCTTGTTTACTGATGGCTCTTGCCGTATTGTGGGAAAGCATCGGAGATGGAAGGCAGCTGTATGGAGTCCTGGACGACAAGTTGCAGAAACTGCTGAAGGAGAGGGTGAATCGAGTCAATTTGCCGAGGTGAAAGCCATCCAGCTGGCCCTGGACATTGCTGAACGAGAAAAGTGGCCAGTACTTTATCTCTATACTGACTCATGGATGGTGGCAAATGCCCTGTGGGGGTGGTTGAAGCAATGGAAGCAGAGCAACTGGCAACGCAGAGGTAAACCCATCTGGGCTGCTGCACTGTGGAAAGATATTGCTGCCCGGGTGCAGAATCTGGTGGTGAAGGTACGTCATGTAGATGCCCATGTACCCAAGAGTCGGGCCACTGAGGAACACCAGAACAACCAACAAGTGGATAAAGCGGCTAAGATTGAAGTGGCTCAGATGGACTTAGATTGGCAACATAAAGGTGAATTATTTTTGGCCCGGTGGGCCCATGACACTTCAGGCCATCAGGGCAGAGATGCAACATATAGATGGGCCCGTGACCGAGGGGTGGACTTAACAATGGACACTATTGCCCAGGTTATTCATGAGTGTGAAACATGTGCTGCAATTAAACAAGCCAAGCGGTTAAAGCCTCTTTGGTATGGAGGACGATGGTTGAAGTATAAATATGGGGAGGCCTGGCAGATTGACTATATCACACTGCCACCAACCCGCCAAGGCAAGCGCCATGTGCTTACCATGGTGGAAGCAACCACCGGGTGGCTGGAAACATACGCTGTGCCCCATGCCACTGCCCGGAACACCATCCTGGGCCTTGAGAAACAGATTTTGTGGCGACACGGCACCCCAGAGAGAATTGAGTCAGACAATGGGACTCATTTCCGGAATAACCTTATAGATATTTGGGCCAAAGAGCATGGCATTGAGTGGGTATATCACATCCCCTACCATGCACCAGCCTCTGGGAAAATCGAACGGTACAATGGGCTGTTAAAAACTACACTGAGAGCGATGGGTGGGGGAACTTTCAAGCATTGGGATACACATTTACCAAAGGCCACCTGGTTGGTCAACACCAGAGGATCTGCCAACAGGGCTGGCCCAGCCCAGTCAGAACTTTTACATATTGTAGAGGGGGACAGAGTTCCCGTGGTGCATATGAAGAATTTGCTGGGGAAGACAGTCTGGGTTATTCCTGCTTCAGGTAAAGGCAAACCCACTCGTGGGATTGCTTTTGCTCAGGGACCTGGATATACTTGGTGGGTAATGCGGGAAGATGGGGAAGTCCGATGTATACCTCAAGGGGATTTGATATTAGGGGAAAACAGCCAGTGAACTCAATTGTATGCTGTTGCCTGCTGTGTAATGCTTTTATAGCCCATCAACTAGATGTCTCCAGGTCACCAGCGACTGGCCCTGACTTCCCTCCAGCCATCATCCCAACAGAGAATGAACTTGGAACATCATGGACCGAATGGACTCGGCAGCATTATAGGGATTGGTCCATGCACTAAGAAAATGATTTTTTTCCTCTTGGTCTGTATGTATATGGATGTATATATGTGGGAGAGCGATGGTGTATTGAAAATGTGGGATCTGAGCACGACGTGAATGGTATGGAATAAGGGGTGGATAATGTCCTGGGTTCAGCAGTAGCAGTCATGTTTTTTCCTTTGTGTTAACTGGTGCAGTGCTGTGTTTTGACTTCTAGTTTTGAGAACAGCGTTGGTGAAGCCGATGTTTTCGGTTGTTGCTAAGTGATGTTTACCCTGACCAAGGACTTTGTGAGGCTCATGCTCTGCCAGGGAGGAGGGGAAGCTGTGAGGAAGCAGAGACGGGGCGCCTGACCCGGGCTAGCCGGGGAGGTATTCCATACCACAGCACGTCATGCCCGGGGTGGGGGGTAACTGGGAGTTGCCCGGAAGGACAGGGGCTTCCGGGTGGAACTCGTTTTCTTGGCCGGTGGTATCGTATTCTCTTCCCTTGTTATTTTCCCTTATCATTGTTTTAGCTGATAGTAGCGGTGGTGATTTGTTGCTGGACTGTTCTTGTCTCAACCCGTAGGAGTTGCACTCTCTCGATCCTCCTCCCCGTTCCTCCGGGAGCGGGGAAGGGGAGAGCCCCGGTGCAGGGAGGGGGGGGAGACGAACACGGACCTTGATTGTTGTCAGCTTGGCACCACTCACTGGGAGTGAGTGAACAAGTTACCTGACTGGGTTTAAACCACGACAAAAACCCACTCAAAGGAATTAAATAAATACTTTAAAAGTATTATACATGAATCTGATTGGGGACAGGGTTCCTATTTCTAATGTATGTTTTCTTAGTGACATGAATTTAATTTCAGGGCTCAGCAGATTCGTACACAAGCAGACCCTCAGACTCTGATGTCTCTTTGGAAGAAGACAGGGAAGCAGTCCGCCAAGAAAGAGAACAGCAAGCAGCTATACAACTTGAAAGGGCAAAGGTATGTTCTTTTCAGCTTCAGTAATAACTAAGTTACATGGCATTTATCTTTTGCCTAGTGTTAAACTTCACACTGTTGGTTTATAATGAGGTGCTGTCTTTGGAAATAGTTTGGCAACTGAGTGAAGTTACCTGCAGACAAGATGTTTGGGGTATACAGTGTAAATATTCTCAAGCTGAACTCTGCTGGCTTGTGTGAAATTATTAGGTCTGATTTTTTTTGTATTTGGGAAGTGTCCTTTGCTAGGTTTTTGGTGATTTGATAAAATTCTTGATTCAGAAGTTTCCACTGTTTGTGATGTCTGTTTCTATTTGTAGTCCAAACCAGTAGCATTTGCTGTTAAGACTAACGTGAGTTACTGTGGAGCTCTGGATGAAGATGTTCCTGTCCCAAGCACTGCCATCTCTTTTGATGCCAAGGACTTCCTACACATTAAAGAGGTAAAACCAAGAACTAGTAAAAGGGAATGTGAAAGGGAATCTTTTTACATGCCAAGTACTGTACTATGATTTAAACAGTTGGGGCTGAACCATACCACCATACCAGATTAATAAGAGAGTCAAGAGCAGAGTGGAGGCAGGAGAGCACAGCACATCCGTCTGATTAGTGATGATGTGTTGGTGGTGCTTCAGCCTTTTTGGAGTTCCAGCACCCTGGTGTGGTTATCTTGCACTTTTTTAATGCTTGATGTTACTGACTTGTTGGATTTTCATGTCACAGGAAGGAGGTAACATCTTGTTATACTTAAACACCCTTCAACAGTGTAGATTCAGATTCTTTTCATCAAATGAAGATTTTAATGGATCATAAATTACATGATGGAAAGGGATTCTATTGATCAGAAAGTGGAGTAGCACCAGGTTACACCAGGTCTTCATAAAGCATGGGATGGACTTGTACGGGAGGAAATAAGACTTAGAATAATACTGTAAGAAAATAAAATAAAAAGAAAAGTAAGGAAAAAGGAATGGGAATAAATGAGCCCTGAGTATGGCCGTGGTAGAGAAAAATACATTTTATTTCGTGTTGAGCATATTTTCTGCAACTCTTAACCTGAAGCGAGGCCTCTGAACTTGCATAAACCCCTGTTGTTTTGTAGGTTTGTACATAAGCTTGCAGCTTGCAAGAACATTTTTCATCTCTGCATTCTAGGTTTGTTTTAGGGTGTTCAGTACTCATTTCTCTCTTTCTTTGAATAATTGTCAGTCATCACTTCAGAGTACTGATCTCCCTTAGACCGAGCACATTTAGGAGGAAAACACCTGCTTCTGCACCTCTAGAGGCAGATATTGGTGATAGAACAGGGGGGTTGCTTTAAATTCTTTCTTCCTGAGAAGGACATGGGAGGGACAGTTCCATTTTCTCAATTTGCTGTAAACAGATGGAAATTCTATTTCGATTTTTTTGTTTGTTTCTTTTGCATGTTTCTATTTGTGTGGAATTATGCTTAAACCCCTGCTGAGGAGCTGGACCTCTGAATCTGAACCTGCCTGTTGCTGCATGCAGAACAGCCCTTCCTGTTTGTTCCCCAAGAAAGTGTTCTGTTCTGCCTAGCACCACACCTGAACTCCCTTGATGTACACCACTTTATAATTTGCTTCCCATCAGGAAAAGGTCCTTTGTTAGCACTCAAAGTTGAATGCAGTCAGCTGCATCCATTACAGCACTCAGATCACATTCTCAGCTACCTTCCCCAATGTTTTTCCACCCACACCAGAAACATACCCTTTCTAGTCTGTCTTTCTAGTCTCCATTGCCCATGTTCATGTAACTTTGTGCATCACTATTAAAACTAGTGTTTGATCTTGGTTTACCTAGGAGGTAGCTACCTTTATTTTCAGGCCAGTGACTGAATTTAATGTACTAAGCTCCTACCATGCTGCCCTGAACATTTTTCCAGAGAAGTGCTGAAAGTCCATGTCTTGGCATTCTGTGAGTTTTCTCCCAAGATCTAAGTAGCCAGGATCTCATTGCCACTAAACTGTAAACCATATGGCTTACTGGTATTTGTCAGCACTGCTAAGGGTTTAGCACAGTTTCTTTGTTAATACTGAAACCTTCAGCTTGCCTGAAGCTGTGGCTGTAACTCAGTAGGATTTCAGGAATTTCAGGAAAACTCCCCATGCTGGAGTCTAGCTGCATGGAAAAAGGCTTTGCAGAAATTGTTTTTCAATGATCTGGCAGGCTTGCTTGGACTAGAACAAGCATGGTTCCAGATTTTAGAATAACGCTAAACTAGGTAAGAAGTAAGGTCACCCTGTTGGCAGGATGAAACATCAGCAGTAACCAGTGAGTTGCTATACTGAGAGTGTGTCCTGTATGTCTCATCTGTCTCCTACAAGACTATATATTATATGCTTACTGAAAGATGAAATGGCAACAATAATTGACAATGCAGAAGATAGCATGGGCATGGCAACGGATAGGAACAAGCTGCAGTCCTCCCACATACTGAATGCGAAGAATAACATATGGGAGGTAATGACCTAACACAAATAGCCCTGTGTTCCTTGCTGCATTGTTATCATTTGCATTGTTCAGATACTCTCAGCATAACACTGGTTCTGATGTCATGTCTAGAGGCATCACCCAGAGGTTCATGACCTGCTAATGGAAGAAAGATTCTCATGTTCAAGCTGTACATTTAGAACCAAAATAGAATGGGTAGTGCTCATGGAACTCAGCTTTTGCAGTGGTTTAAGTCCATCTGATTTACAGATGGATACAGAAATCCAATGGATTTCTCTGATTTACAGCAGCAGTATGCTACATATGGAAGTATTTGACTGTTTTAAAGAACGCAAGTAGTTTGTCAACTTAAGCAGAAGCTATATACTTGAAATTACTGACATTTTCTGAATTGGGGTCATAATAGCATGAAGAATAGAGACTTAAAAAGTTGAAGTGCTAAAATAATGGAACATCTTGCATAAATAACAGCTATATAAAGAGGACAGGTTTTCAAGATGAGGATAGAAGGATTGCATTTCCCTTAGCTATATATGTAATACTGGTGTCTGTGGGTTAATAAAAAGGCTAATTTATTTTTCAAAGATGCTGAGGGTCTATATGTTTCAGAGACTGTTGTATCTTTGACAACTAGGATATGGTATTTATGTGTTTCTGCAAGAAGTAGGGCTTGAGAATATGCAGCCAAGACAACTGATCATTTTTAAGATATTTCTGTGATAACTTTTTCCTTAAGGCATGCAAGCAAATTGGTACACTCATGCTGGTCTTGATGACTTGACAGTCAGTTGTGAAAACTAATGTTTCTTTTGAACACTGAGGTGCCTAATGAAGTGTAGCAGAATGTAAGGTTTTCAGATACTTTTCTTCAAAAGCTCTGCTGGCAGCCAGCTACAACAAATCTATTTCCACTGCGACATCCACTATGGTACCACTTTTCATCTTTCCGTCATTAAAGTTAGGGCAGATTTCCAGTAATGCGGAAAAATGTGTTACTAAAGGTTAATGATAAAATTAAATCTTATACTTTCAGGTATATATTTAAGTTTCTTCATAAAGGTGAATTTTTCTTCAGCTATCATACATTTAAAAGTGTATGCTTTCAAAGAGTTTAGCTACTTCTAGGCAGTGGCACTATAAAAGCCTCATTTGTAGAGAGGTGTCGCAACTTTGGTTAGAGCATAGCCATAGCATAACCAGATGTGGGTTTGGTTCACTGCTGAAGCTGGTAAGTTTTCTATGTTGTCTTGGATAATTTTGTCTTTATTTGGGTTTCTAGAATGGTGTTTGTATAGCTTTTCCACTAGATGAGGTTTTTCCAAAGGGATAACATGGTAATAACATCCGTACAAATATCTAGAAAGCAGGGAGGAAAACTGGCAGTGGTGGTGATGGTATCTTTGGTGTAGACCATTACATTTTACAAGGAACCATTAACTGTTGTTTTGATGGTGATCTGAAGATGTTACTTTGACTGGTTTATATGGCTGCTGTGACATAGCTTGGTGGCCTTTCTTCACCAGAAATTGGTTTGTCTCATTAAATCACCATCATACTCAGCACCTTAGTGGGTGACATTAGAGGAAAAGTCACAGCACACACGATGTGTTGGGGCAGTTAAGAGATAAGCCAGTACTGCTGCAGATAACGCTGCTTTCCACTGTCTGGCTGCAAAGAACACATTAACCTTCCAAATACCTTTGACTTAACTCAGATTCACATGGATTGCCCAGCATTCAGGTGTCAGTATGAGTCTGGTTTCATTGATCAGCATGGAGTTAAGGATTGTGAAAAACCGAGTTTCAGACATGGAGCATTTTGAACTGAAGCCAGTAACCTTTCTATGTTCCAGAAATATAATAATGACTGGTGGATAGGAAGGCTGGTTAAAGAGGGCTGCGAGATTGGCTTTATTCCAAGCCCGCTTAGACTGGAGAATATCCGCATTCAGCAGGAGCAGAAGAGAGGACGTTTCCATGGAGGGTAAGAATGCTGTAACCTTTTAAAATAATTTAAAATCATTTCTGACACTAGACAATATTTTCAAAGGTCACTTGATTTGTTTTTATTGCAGTGCATTTGGAGGAATGTTTGATTTGGGATTCCAAATGAAAATACATATTTGCAGAGACTAGACGTGTTAGATATTGACAGTGAGAAACAACAAAAAAGTGTGTATTGACTTTAGGAAAGATCAGTAATACAGTATGAGTAGTAACAACAGAAATTTCTGAAGGGCTGGAGTTTCACATCCCCGTGGCTTTAAGTCAGTGTTGGTGCCCAAAGCCTGCCATATTTTTTTCCCATCAGTTGTGTTCTTAAGGTTGTGGGTTTTTTCTTTCTGTTTTGTCTTCCTCTCCATTTTGGCCAAAACCAGACTTTTCAACCTTTGTAATATGAACTTTGTCATTTGACCTGCTTTATTCTTCATGTTCCAGCTTCACCATTCTGTGTCTCCATGCTGCTAGAGCTGGAGATTACAAGTCCCTGGAAAAATACAAGCTTGGTCACAGGTCTAAGAAGTAGAACTGATTTCTCATAATCTCAGTTAAGACGCTCAAGTCACTCTTCTATTGGTTGAAAACACATTTTTTTTTTTTTTTTTAGATTTTTAAAAATTACTACTAATGTATTATTCCCACTAATTGAAAACCAAATTTAAATGTTCAGACAGATAACAAAACCTTTAGTACTGTGAAGAGATGTGAGCCAACTGAATCTGGACCTAATAGATATCAGTAAGAGGAGCATAAATTTAGCCTGTATAGTACTGTCAGGGAATTTGCACACTAATATACTTAATCAAGGTCAGGAATCGTTTCAACTATAAACTATCTAGGGAATTGTTTTTAGAATGACTGAACAGCATTAACTGTGCTTTTTCCAAATTGCGTTTATAAATTTGAAATAGTTTCAGAGGAAGCCAGTGTATCTCAATGTACAGAAAGAAGATTATCTAATTCAGAGGTGGACACTAGTAGTATTTAGCATAGTTGCTTCAGATACAGCATATTAGAAAAATTCTCTGCTTGTGTGAAAGGGCATGACTCCACGCATCACCAATTCTTGCAAAGATTTTCTCTAATCTCACCTATGGAGAATATTGGGAATAAAATCAAGTATGAAAGAGAGCAGAAATATTGTAAAGGATATCTATTAAGATTTTGAGGAGCCTGCACTAACACTCCTGGATTTGTATGATAAAATTGGAAGTAATGTATAGTGATGAAATAATTTATTTTGAGCACCTTTGTTAGATACAGTCATACAGTTTCTGTACCTTAAGATTTCTTTAAAAGCTGTGACCAGCTGTGATACTAAGGCTCTACATGATTAAGAAGAACTCTAGTTTTGTCTGAGTAAGGCAGTGAAAAGTAATCTAATAAAGAGGGTTTCAAGAGTCTAGTATATGTTCACAAACAATTTGTCAAGTGCAGGAGTAAACAATCCCTGCTCTGGAGAGCATATGGCAGGAAAGCAAAGGCAAAATACTGATGGGAAGTAGTATCTTCTTGCTGGTCTGTATGTAAAGACATGGATTGTACCATGAGGCTGTCACCTGCGGGAATCAGACTGCTTAAACAGTCCTTTTCTCTCTGTCCTGAGCTCTTCTTCCCTCCTCCCATGTCCTGCTCAGCTGCTTGTGCAGTGAGCTGGATTACAAAGCTTATTCACCTGAACATCTTTTCCCTCCCCAAACTAGTTTCCTGCCAGTCTGCTGTGGGTTTGGTGCACAAGCAGTTGTGCTGGGTGCATCACGCAAGGAGAGGAGGGAAGGGCTTGGCACAGCAGAGGCAGAACTGCCTGGCTGGATGCTTGGAGGTACAGTGAATGGACCACTATAGCTACACAACAAAAGCTGTTTAAACCGCCAGTTAAGATCTCAAACCTCTCAAGAGATGTGTCATTTATGCTGGCAGAGAGATCTAGCAAGACAGCGGAGTGTTGGGTGAGCAAGACAGCGGAGTGTTGGGTGGGGGCTCTCATGCAGAGCTGGGGTATTCTCTGAGTTTAGCAGATGCCTGTGACTGGAGCTTCTGTGTTTCCCAGCCTACGGGCAGATAACAGAAAAGCTTTGTTCAGTCTGTAGTGGAACCCACTCTCCCCTCATAGCCCGTATACAGCAGCTCTTCCAGCCATGGAGGTCTACTTAATTACAGAGACTTTGGTTCCTCTTGTCCCTGTCTGGTTCTCTTCACCCGTCACTTCAGAGGAAGCTTTTTTTGTAGCATGAATGTGGGTGAAGACTCCTTTACTGTCTGATTTCTTATTGGGCAATTTCTCATAGCTGCTGCCTAAAACCTCACACATTTGCATCTCTGGGCACTTAGTGTTAATGGGGCTCTTTTTGATACCATAGGAAATCGAGTGGAAATTCTTCTTCAAGTCTTGGAGAAATGGTTTCTGGCACGTTTCGAGCCACACCTACTTCCACGGGTAAGACAAATTTATTTAAGGAAACTCTTACTAATACTTCTATTTTAAAAAATGTGCATGAAAAATGCAGGTTTCCCCCCTTTGCTGACTTATTAAGGCATTTTACAGAGATTGCTTGTGTGCGGAGGTGGAGAAAGACATCTATATCTAGACTTCCGGCAGTTGCTAAGGGACTGGGAAAAAATCTCAGGAGAAGTGGCAGGTGCCCCAGAATGGAATGAATGTCCAGTTTAAAGAGGGCTGACCAAAAGGGAGGTGCACTGAGAGAAATCTAGAGTGCCCTGACAAAGGAATTTTTGTTTGCAAGTATTTTGTTTGTTATACACAGTGTGGCTTTTTTAACCAAGTTCTCATTTGGTCTTTTAGCAAAACAGAAACAGAAAGTGGTAAGTAGTACTTTTGCTTCCATTTTATTTTATTTAATTCCAAAACATAATTCCCAGGATTGGGTCTTCTTTGACTAATGATCTGAAGGGTTGTTTTATTCTTCTAGACAGAACACATTCCCCCGTATGATGTAGTACCATCAATGAGGCCTGTTGTTTTGGTGGGTCCATCACTGAAAGGCTATGAGGTATGTAGTCTAGGTACTTGAAATTGCTGTTTTCTTATCTCTGATCTTCCTTTGTACATACAGTATTGTGGTTCAGTGTGACTGTTTTGATATGATAATTTAAATATAATTTAAAGTAGTCTTAGCTTAAATAATTGTCAGAAATGTTGTATAAGAACCAAGAGCGTAATCAGCACTTTGCACCATTTAGGTGAGGTACCAGCTGAATATTTTTCTGCCTTAACAACGGTGTCTGTTACTTTTGATACCTCAGCTAATGGATAGGTAACATAAGTAGCATAAGAACATGGTGCTCTCTTGGCACTTTTACTGCTTTAAGCACAGGGCACATCCATTATTTTCAATACAGATATTTTGATAAATCAAGTAAGAAAAGGAGAATTTGTCTTCACTACAAGAAGTTGGAGTAGTGAAATTAACTCCTAAACTTCTGTATACGTGTCAAATTTTAGTCAGACTAGCACATGCTTTGAACTTAATTAGCAAAAATTTTGAAGAAGCTTCCTCGTTGTTCTTCTTTTTTCACTTATAGAAGCTTTGCATCCATCTTCCCTGAATTCATGAATGGCTGGACTATAGCAGTGTATTCAGTTTTGTTCTCCAGCACTTGAAACTGAATTGGGAACTAAAGATTCTTACTATTATCAGGTTTTCTTGACTTTTTAAGATTATTAGTATACTGAAATACACATATAAATAAACCTTTAACCCTTCTAAGTTATTTCAGCATAGAAGTGGGTATGATAACACGCACAGATAAACACGACACCCATTTTTCAAGGCTGGTGCAGATTCAAATGAGCATTTAACACGTGCTAAATGAGCATAGGCTTTTAGCAGGGCATTTCAGTGAACTTAACCATCTGTTAAGTGTTTTGCTGAATTGGAAACTAAACAAACATGAACATAAAATCAAAGATACACTTCATTTAGCCTAATTAATGTTGTTAGTACTTTACAGGATATTATTAAACATACTGGAATGATTCTTTTTGGAAGATTACAGCATGGTACCATTATTAGCATAATGCAGTGTTCTTGCATTGAGTTTTGTTGTGAGAATGATTGGAAGTGTAGTTTAGCAATGCAGGTACTTTGTGTTCTACTCTCTACCTTTTGATTTTATGATGATGTTTCTTGACAGGAGTGAATTTCAACCATTGACTTCCAAGGTGCTGCACCACAGGTTAATTTGCCTAGGGACTCTCAAGGTTGGAAGGGAGAGAGGCTGTTTGAAAATACATGCCTGTATATATATACCATCCTTCCTTTGTTTGCAAAAATAATACTAAATGTGACATTTTGGACATATAAAGGTGTATAAATGGTAACATAGGATATTAATTTCAATTACAAACAGTGGTCTACATAACAAACTCATTGATCTTACTTTACAATTTATGTGAAAAAATTCCTGTGACTGTTGTTTTTCTGACTAAATTCTGAAGGAACCGTTTTGAAAGATAACCTAGGAAAGCTAAACAGTCAAAGACCTGGGGGCTTTAAGTTCCTGTCTAGAACTGGCAGGTAATAGGTGTCAGCTTGAGTTGTCCTGAAAAGGACAAGGAGCTCATTCAGAAAAGTAGATGACACCTGTTGGGGCTCATCTGTTGGGGCTGGGCACCTCTTGGATGCTTTACCATATACAGGAATAGGAGCATCCATTTTTTCTGCTTCCACGCTTCTCTGAGAGTAGTTTTTCTCTTCTGTTACAACAGTCATCCAGCATGATAAATCTTGTATCTGGAGTTTTAAGTCCATTCTAATAATGTTACTGCTGGAAAAAACAAACGTTCTGTTCAACTGAATAGTCCGATATGCTTCTGACGTGTTCTGAAGCCTGCTGGGATATGGTATTGCTATGGAAGGTGGTGAGGTGTGCCCTAATGCCTCAGTGCAAGTCAAGACAAGAGCAGAAAGAGTGACAGCTCTCACGTCCTCCGTTCCGTATTTTGGAGAATGAGTCAGAAAACTTGCAAGTATTTATTACAAAGCGTGCTGCGGAGAGCATGAAAAATAAATGATTGCTGCCTATAAATGGTATTGATTGTTGGAAGTATCCTTATCTTCTACTTACCTCTTTTCTTATATTTGACTTCTTTTTCTCCCTGTCATTCCTTCCTGTTCAATCTTCCTCACCTCTGCAAAGGTGACAGACATGATGCAGAAAGCTCTGTTTGACTTCCTGAAGCACAGGTTTGATGGGAGGTGAGACATACTGTCCTTTTCATGCTTTTTCCTCCCCATGCATTACTAATTTTTAGCGATTTTCTTTTTTATTATTATTTTTAATGTAAGAAGATTGATGCATGTTCAAATCTGATTTACTGGCTCTGTATCAACACTGAAATGCAGCCAGCTGTGGAGTGGAGCACAGCTGATGTATTACTCAAAGTGCATGTATCTCCATATCTGCTGTGCCTGTAGTAGGATTTCTTAGGTTTAACAGCATAATTCTGCTTCATTATCTTACCAGCCTGAAGTTACAGGAGAAATTGAGATGAAAGGTGACTGGGGAACATGGGAAATGCCAAAATATCTTTAAAGATGGCATTTTACTAGGCTCAGGTTTTTAATGTTGCCCTTGGAGGTGGGCTGTGGCCCTTGTTAAGCTGGGAGCTGGAGGGAACGGTGCCACTCAGGCTAGAGCCCTTTTGGCAGAGCCTGGCACCTAGGTCGTTGCTGGCCCTCTTTCCCCTGGAGCTCCCAAGCCACTGAGCTGACTGTGCATTGGGTAAACTGAACTGAGAGGATTGCCCTTCTTTTCTAATTTTTCAAAGAGCTGCCCAGTTCCTTTCATGCCATGGAACAGGTGAGAAAGCATGAGTGATTGCACGTGGAAGTACAGTTTTATTCACAGCCCTTCAGGGGTGTGAAAATTCCTTAACCATTGGATGCAAAAGTGTGTGTGCTGCTGGACCCAGCTCAGCCAGCTGTTGAAGTGTGAATAATAAGCGCCTCTTGATTTTATTTTGAGGTTTGCTGTATTTGGGCTAGGTTCATTCCAGCGCTTGTGAAGTTCCAGGCTCTTTTACAGCAGGATGTTCTCTAAATAAAACTAATCACACCCTAGCCCTGAAATAAATATCAGAAACAGCAGATTTTAACGAGGTGCAGAGCAGTGCTTCAGACCAACACCTAAGAAAAAAATCAACTCTTAAATATTCTTGGTAGTAAAAAACACTTAAAAAGGCAGTTTGAAGAAGGAAATGCCGAGAACTTAAAATATAGACAAAAAGTATGTCAGAACTTCAGAAGCTGTAAGGAGGGTTCATCTTGTTCAGCTGGAACACAGATGAGCTGTGAGAAGGATAATTTGGATTTATTTGCTTGGAACATAGGCTTGGTCCATGGCATCTCTTCCTTTCCACTGTAGCTCATCAGTAATCATAGGTGTCTGCTACATCTTTGGGATGCTCTGCCCTTCCTTCATCCTAGTTTGTTCAGTATATTCTAGCTGTGGAAAGGAGTTTATACTGTGTGTAACAGTAAGTCAGCTTTGAAAATACCTAGAAGATCGGCACTAGGACAATGAATAGTGTCTATTGTTTAGAAAAGGTGGAGTAAGTTTTATGGTCGGGGTACCTTTGGGGTGCAGTGAGGAGGTGGCAGTGCTGAACTAACCCACAAGCAGCTTAGATGAAATGTTTAATGGTCAACTTCCATGCAGAATACCTCATCTCCTTCCCTACTTCTGTTGCCCAGCTCAAGTGATATTAGCAGGTCCTACAAATGTAGTGATTGATTTAAAACCTGACAGATGAAGCACTGTATGTGGCAGCCTGCATTTAAATTTATCACTTTTCTGAGCTGTTTGTGCACCTTGTCAGCGCCCCCACTCCCAAGCATTGTGACTGCTCTGGTTCCACTGCAGGTCACCATGTGAGCCCCGGTGCCTGTTCACAGTACATATAGCTACAAAACCCCACAGCATTATGTTCTCTTCCAGCTGTTGGCATATGCCTGTCATTGAGAGTCATTGTTTTCAGTAGGAAACCATGGCAACTGGAAGTGGTAAGTCATCTCCAGTTGCCACAATGTGATTGCTATGAGTCTATCCTTTATAAGGTATATTTTTATGCCCTATATGAATCACAGAATCTAGATCCCAGGTTGGAAGGGACCTCAAGGATCATCTGGTCCAACCCTTCTAGGCAAAGCATGACCAGCACCCTGTCCAGCTGGATCTTAAGTGTCCAGTGTTGTTGAGTCTACCACTTCCCTGAGGAGATTATTCCCATGACTGATTGTTTCCCCTTGTGTCCAACCAGAATCACCCCGGTAGTAATTTATATACGTTACCCCTTATCTTTTCCTTATGACTCCTTGTGAAAATAAGTCTCCATCTTCTTTGTAGCTACCCTTTAAATACTGGAACATGGTGATAAGATCTTATGTACTCAGTAGAGGCCTGATCCGTGAACATCAGCAGTGCGTAAATAGAGAGGAGGAGATGTAAAGCACACTTAGATGCACCCATTTAGGCTGCCTGAACTGATGGGAGGCAGGACTGCTCCTTGCCTTGCTCTTCTGTCTTTTCTCCCACCATGCCCTTGGTCTGCACAAAGTGGTAAAAGGGAGAGATTCTGTCAGGAGAGAGGTATTTTTTTGGTAATCCTATTAGTAATACTGGCAACTATATCAGGTAGAAGTATGAAATTTCATCACTGAAAAAGTAAAATGCCACAAGCAAGCTGATACCAGTGACTTAGCTCTGAGTAACTTCAGAAAAATGCTGCTGCTTCATCCTCCTGCCAACTTTTATGGCTTTGCAGTTTTTCTTTTCCCAACACTTTCCTTTATTTCCGTCTCTTCTACAATTTTGTGACAGGTCCACGTTACCAAGAAAGGAATTAACTGTCCAAGCATGAGCTTTTCAAAAGACTCCAGTAAGACCTATACTACCAGGACTCCTTTCCCATGTCTTAATACCCTTGGTTTCTGTCAGCTTCTTCTTTTTGTAACTGCAACATCCTCTTCTGGCCAGTGAACTAAAGAAAAGGCCTGAGTGCTGTGCTGTGCGGGCCAGCTGAAAGGAATCTGCTAAAGCCTATCTGACAGGAGGCCTTCAGGGAATGCTTGCTGCAGAGGCTCTAACAGTATCATTTTCTAAATGGATTGTATTTAACCACTGCTGCATAGAGCAGCCTGACTCTATACAAAACATAGCAAAGGCACTTTTTTTTCCCTTAACATCTTTCAGCAACAGCGATACTTAGAATTACTTCTTACTCAGGAAGAATGAAATGTTTCCTATATCTGGCACAGTGGGTGAGCATTTTCAGTCCTTTCTCTGTTACATGTCTCTGATTCCAGCAGTCAGAGATCTAAGAACTCCCTGAGCCAGAGATGTGATCTGGACCACCATGTTTTACTGTCACTTTGTCGTGGTGACTTCTAAACCCATGATCCATTAATTTCTCTCATTTCTTTTTTAAATTCATTTATACTTCTGGTCTCTACTGCATTTTCTGGCAGTTTATTTATTTATGCATTATATAGAAAAATACTTGCACTTCTTTTTAACCCTACATCTGATAAGATTTATGCATCTCTTAAGTGAAATTACATTCTGTGGAATAGCTGCTAGTCATTTCCAGCCTGCTTTCTTTTCATTATTCATGGCTCCTTGGCTCATCACAGTCGTCCTAAATGAATGTTACATGAAGTGATTGTGTGGTTTTGTTTTTTAACCCTTTGTCTCTTGTTAGCTCACTGACAGGTCAAGTAAAAAAATCACCTTCCTTAAATGAAAGAGCAGGCTTCAGCAGTACAGAGAGCTGTGGCTCAACTTACTTTTCTCCTGTTCAACCAGGAGCCAAGCATTTAGCTCATCAGCAGAGCTCCCTGTCTGGAAAAGGAGGGTGTCTGTTGGAGGACCAATGTCCCAAAGCAAGGAGCTCTGTTCAGTGACTCACAGGCACTCAGCTATAAGTGACATGGTCTGCTCAGGTGTCCAGATGTGTCCCTTCCTTACATCCCAGCAATATCAGGATTAATCAATGGTTTGACTATCTGGGAAGAGAAGGGCTGTTACTGTTACGACTCTGTTGTTTTGTATGCCTCAAGACTCGCTTAACTTGTAGTGTTTGCGGTGCTGTATAAAATCATGTAGGAGATGACTTAGTTAGGGAGGAGAAGTTAACTAATGCGTTAAGTAGAATAGCAGAAAATATATGCCAGAGTCTACAGTAGTGTAGGAAATAATTTATCTTAAATTGTTCTTTAATGATGATGTAACTCACCTACAAAACATTTCTGGATGGTATTTTATTGTATTTTCACTTTGGAATAGAAAGTAGCTGTAAGTCATGCACAGTGCACTGGAAATTTGACTACTGTGTTTTTGTTCTGTCGTGTGTTCTTACTCATAGGATATCAATAACTAGAGTGACAGCTGACATTTCTCTTGCTAAGAGGTCTGTTCTAAATAATCCAAGCAAGAGGGCAATAATTGAGCGGTCAAATACAAGATCCAGTTTAGGTAAGACACTGACACATAGGTAATTATGAATATGGTTGCATATTGAGGAAAGTGGCAGGACTTCAGCATTCAGGATGTCATCAGTTCTGCAATTTGAAATGTATCTACAGCATTCTAGTGTACAATTCTGAATTCCACATACCCAAATGGGAGACATTTTTGCTAACTGAGGGGGAACAGAGCACAGGGTACTGTGTTAGCCTCATGTTAAGCAATTACCTGAGCTAGAGCAAGCAGTATTACAGGTGCTGTTTGTAAAAGATGAGTTAGGGGCCTATAGTATGGTTTGCTCTTTCCTTCCAAGGTGAGCTGGCCTCACAGCTCCCTCTTCTCAGCCCTGTGCTTCAATTCCATGTTACAAGGTGCCAAATAGCTTTTCACCTTGTCCAGACAAGGAGACATGGTGCTCGTGACCCTGGGACTTGTTTTGTATTTAATGTTCAACAGCTTCAGCTTATTTTTGCTGTCTGGCCATGAGACTCTAGGTCTTCCCACCCTCTCCTCACAGTGTCATGACTGCTGGGTTACAGTGGCCTGGTGAATTTTTATTTCTTTCACAAGGGTGGAAATGTGTGTGTAGCATTATATGTGTGCCAGTGTCGTGGCTTAAACCATGACAACCAGTAAGCTGGTCTCTGGGGCACCATCCTAGAAGGAGTTGGTTTTCAGCCTTCTCAGGAAGAAAAGGCTCTTAAACCCAGTTCTCTGACATCCTGAGTGACTGTTTGAACTAGAGGTGTAGGTCATAGGACACTTCACTTCTAGCTGGCCTTCTAATACAGGAATAGCACCCCAAAATTAAGTGCTGCAAAGATGAGTACTGAATCATTTTGTGCCTGTGAACACACATTGCTCTGTGGAACAGCTCTCAGGCAGATTAAATGCATGTGAGTTGCTGGCACACAGATCTTCTGTGCTTTGGTGGTATAACTTACAGGCTTCAATTTGTGCTGAGTTTATCTATTTAAAATTTGTCCTGTGCACGTGAATGATTAAGAAGGGTCAGAATAGTGAATAACAGAAATATAATTTGCATGGAAATAAATTGCTCTTTTTTCTACAGACAAAAGTGCTTTGTTACGAACATTGCCATTACTGTCTTTTTAAATAATGCTCTGCTGATTATTTAACGTAAGCTTTTTCTTGTCGTTATAGAATTAGGAAGTCACAGTTCTGTTTTTCATACAGACTCTTGTTTAAGTTAAATCAGAATTGCAATCTAAGAACAAAAAAAAAAGTTTTAAGAAATATCCATTTGTTAAAACATTGTTTTCTCTCTAAATTAAAAAAAAAAAGCTATTTAGCAGATTTTTAAAATGCATTTATGTCTATTTTCTGTTAATAGAATCATATATTTAATCATACGCAGTCTTTAAATACACTGATATTATAAAGGAACATAGTACAGACATAGTCTGTACAGAATTGTCTTGAAGGTAATATTTATTTAAAAAATTGCCTTGAGTAATAGGTTGGTTTTTGGCAATTACTTTAATTCACATATGGAGTTCACATAATGAATGCATACTTTCTGTGAAAATAAATGAGTGATGATATTTTTGTCTTATGCAATGCTGGGGTCGAATGGCTTTCACCTGGTTTGTTTTCCTTTGCTAGCTGAAGTACAGAGTGAAATTGAAAGAATCTTTGAGCTGGCAAGGTCCTTACAACTGGTTGTCCTAGATGCAGACACTATCAATCACCCTGCACAACTTATCAAGACATCTTTAGCACCAATTATTGTCCATGTTAAGGTGTCTTCTCCAAAGGTAATGTATCTCACCTTTAAAGAATGTGCGTTTGAGAGGGACCTGGAGGGCAGTGTGGGAGGGAGCAGTGAGATACCTGCACCTGAAGAAATCAAGAATAAGATGAAGAGAAAAAAAAAGATTTTTTTTTTTCGATCGAGGACTTGACAAGTGAGCGTCTGATGCAATTTCTTATTTCTGCCCTAAACATTAACAAAGTCTTAGGCTGAGCCTTAGAGAAGGAACCCACCAGTTAAGTAGACAAAAAATACTCCTGATGAGCAAATTCTTCCTGTAATTCTCAGTTCCCCTTGGCAGTCCCTTTGCAGCCCTCTTTCCACAACACAGCTGTAGTTCTGGGTTGTCTCTCCACAAGCCCTAACCTTAAGCTGAGCTTCTGAGACGGCACTTGGCCCTTTGCCCACTCCCCACGCAGTGAATGATGATTGTCTGTTGATCACAAACAAAGCCTGTGTGCTTTTGTCTGTGGCTTCCACCAGGGCATGGTGGTTGGCCACTGGGCCAGCTCTTGCCATACAGTGGGAATGTGACTGTTGCTCAGGAGCACAGCATGGACCCTACCATGATAATGGCTATTAGTCCAGAAGGGGGCCTAGAGTCATGACAGAGACTTTGGATCCCATGGAATAGCAGAGCAGTTGTGGGATATGCCCAACACCTGCTGGAGTGACCACTGTGGCACTCTGGAGAGCCATGTTGGCACATGGTTCTTGGTGCAGATAACCTGCAAGAGATGGGGAGGTTCTGCTGGACCTGCTTCTGGGTGGAAAAAGGAAGAACTGGACAGAGTTGTGAGGTCTAGGACAAACTTGGCTGCAGAAACCATGAGATGGTGGAATTTTAAGATCCTGAGAGAAGTGAGCAGTACAATTAACAGAACTGCAGACCTAGGCACTAGAAGTAGCTTGTTCAGGGGTCTGTTCAGCAGGAGCCCATGAAAGCCTTTCTTGGATTACACCAAGAACCTGTTGGGTTCAGCATGCTGGTCAGAGGTACAAAGTCCAGCTGGTTGCCAGGGTGTCACTCGGGAATCTGTACTGGGCTGTCATCTACAGGGACCTTGGCAGGCTGGAGAAACGATCTATCAGGTACCTCCTGCAGTTCAGCACAGGCAAATACCAGTTACTTTGCCTGGGCTGGAGTAGCCTCCTACTTCCAGCTGGGCTGAGGCTCGCTGGCTGGGGGCAGTTCTGCAGCCAGGGACCCTGGGAGGGCTTGGTGGGTAACAGTTTGGAGAGGAGTGAGCAGTGTCCCCTTGCAGCAGAGAATCAGCCGTATGTTGAGCTGTACAAAGATGGGTCAGTCCTGGCTCAGAGAGGTAGTGGGGTCTCCTTGAAAGTGTTCAGAACTCAGCGGGATGAAGACCCGAGCAATCTGATCCTGGCCTTGCTTTGAGTGAGGGGTTGGCACACAGACCTCTAGAAGTCCTTCCAACTTAAAAACCTGTTCTGTGATCTTGTAATTTTCCTTGAAACTTTACAGAGGAATGATTTAGGATTCTTAAGTTTTCCACCCCTCAGGTTCTGGTAATGAACACAGTGGAAGGAAAAAAGAAGAGTGATATAAACTGTGTGTGTAAAATATCTCTGTGCGCAAAATACACTTCAGAATAGATTAAGTAACAGTATTATTGCTACACAATGTAATTTGCTGCAGCAACTGTTGTGCTGCAACAATCCAGTATAATTCTGTATGCATATAATTTTCATGGTCCTCTAGAAGAGTACATTTGTCAAAAATAACCTATTCAAGTATAAGAGAGCAAAATTACCATTTACATTGCACTTGAAATATTTGCGAGGGATGAAGTGTGAGCAGAGTGCAATGTACGCAGCTTTCAGGGAGGTTATCAGAAAGGTTTGTGCTTCTATTCAAGGACAAAATTTTACCAATTTTGTTGATCAGGAAGGAGAGCTTTTAAACTTGGAAACCCTCCAATGGGATGGCAGGCTGAGCTTTATGGAGATATGTGATTCTTAAGCTCACTTTTTCCTCTTTTTCTCTGTCAGGTTTTGCAGCGGCTGATTAAATCTAGAGGAAAGTCACAAAGTAAACACTTGAATGTTCAGTTGGTGGCAGCCGATAAACTTGCACAATGCCCACCAGTAAGTACAGAAGAAAGGCCAAAGAACTTGTGATACGTGGAGTTTTAACGATTCCTGCTGTGTTGGTCCTTGATTATAGCCAAGCTCATATGTTATCACTTCACTTTATGGTGATTCAGTCAGCCCTGCAGTTGCAACTCTCGATCAGATTTTATTGCTAAGAAACAAGTTGTGCGATACTTTAATCCTTATTATCTCCTGTGCTGGATTTGTGATGATCTTTGGCAAGGTCATAGGTCAAAAATGATGTGTAGAAAACTGATCTGCTAGCATATGAACAAATGACATCATTTGTGGAGCAGTAATATCTTAAGGTCCCAAAGGGGCAAAGTCTCAGACTCCTGGCTTGGGAGGAGGCTGCAGAGGACTTTCCTTCAGCTGTGCAGTGAGTCCAGACACACCATACAGGTACCTATCAGAGCCACCGCTCACAAACCATTTTATCAAAGATACCTATTACTCACACTGAATGACCTGCTGCTTAAAGACCAGAGGTCCTGCTAGATAGCCAGTTAGGCAGACAGTGCTGTGGGGAAAACCTGTACAAGTGTTTGGACAGGACAGCTCAAACTTGCTTTTACTTTTGAAAACAACACCTGGTTTCTGTGACAGAGAAAGCCACTCAGTGGAAGCAAACTTGGATGTGGACTTGTTCTTACAGCGTTAACAGCTGTGTGTAACATCAGTCTGGTACCACAGAAATGACTGTTCATACCAGGGAATGATCAGTCCAGTCAGGGAATGATCATCACCATGGCTTGGTGATTATCCAACTTTCTCATGCCAGAGAACTGAGTAGAAATCAGATTAATTCAGAGAAATTCAGAATAGACACTGGAAAGGTTTCCACGATTGTTCTCTCTGAATGTAGGCAAAGTGCTGACAAAAGAGATGTCTTGGAACAGTCTAGGAACAAATCTGAGAGTTGAGATAGGCCGAATGAATGCCAAACCCTAATACCCAGATAATGCTTCTAGAAGACCTATTGTTGTGTTATGTAGATGTTAAAGCAGCTGCCTCCATTTCAGATGGCTTTTATTCTTAATTCAGATGCAAGTAACAAAGTTCATGAAGCTTCTGTTCTGGAGCAATGATCCACAAGGATTTCTTTCCATGAAACTTCACTTGTATACTTTTTAAGATGCCAGACTTCACAGCCTCTTTCTCTCTTGTCCCCCGTGGCCATAAGAAGATAAATCAGGTATTTCTGAGCACTCCTAAATTACAGCAATAGATGTTCCTGTTTGGAATTGAGGCTGGGCCACACAGGTCAGTGCTCTCATGCCCCTCAGATGTTCCAGAGCTGCTGTTGCTGGGACTGGTGGTACTCCATCCAGCAGAAATGGAGACCTGGAGAGAGCTTTCTCTTTCTCTCTTCTCTTGCCCATTGGTTGGCTTTTTAAGGTAGCTCTTGCCATCAGACAGACCCGCCTAATTGCTAGCTAGTGTATGGGGACTGCCAGTTTCTGCGGCAGCTGTGTGCCTGCCTGGAACAGCCTCTGTGGCCTCAGGTCTGCCCAATGATTCTGCCTTGGATTAGCAAGAGAGTGGGGTAATTCCACATGTGCTGATTTGCCTTCTGAAAAATGTCATTTCAAGCTGACTGGCACTGCTGGCGAGTTCAGGTTATGTTCACGTAGTAGTTTGACAGATACAAAATGAAGAATAATTAATGTGGATCTATGAAAATTCTGAATTTTTGCAGGGTTTTGTAGTGTTTTGGTGTATGTTCAGGCTAGTTTCACACTGAAGTCTTAGAAACCAGAGAAAAGTAAGGACAGAAATGTCAGGCTTGACTGACATTTCTGTCTTCCTTAAAAATTGAATGGTTTAAGGACATGTCTAGAATGAGAAATCTGATTCATATTCTTCCTGTGCCTGATACAGAGCAAGAATTTAAATAATCCAGAAAAGTGCTGTTGGTGGTGTGGATATGGGGGGGCATACTTTGCTTTCTCCAGTTCCTGCAGTGCAAGCTCTGCCCCACACAGCTTGCTGTTTCCCTTGTGGGTGCAGGTTTTGTAGCCACGCTTTGTGTACCCCTCGCTCCATCAGCAGCACTTGCAGGTGTCCAGCTGTCCAAACTAGTAGATGGTGTCCACGTATACATCCAGCTGGTCATGTTACTGCATTGACCTGTAAGCTTCTGGTTACAGTAACTGTAGATTGCTTTGCTCACTCTTTCATCCTTGTTTTCCACTTTGAGCAGCACAGAAAGATGTTTGAGCCATCTCAAGTTCTTCTGGAGAGCTCAGCTGTATTGTGTTTCTCATGTGTAATCTACTAAATTGTTCTCTCTAAAAATGGTGACTGAGAATTCCTGTGAACCATTCAGGTCCCCTTAACTGAAACAAAACTCTACAGAATAATTTCTGGAAAAGCATATACCTTCCTAACTCCTAATGGGTGTAAGCCAAGTTAAATGGAGTTACACCTGTCTGAATATAGCTTGTGGTATTTACACCAAGCTTCCACTGAGCTTACACATGGAACAACGCACTGCACATTCTTCACATTTGAAAGGTTTATGTATTTTTCCACCTGCACAGAGAAACCTGTGCATGTTTGACAGTCTTTGCTCTTTATGTAGTGATCTCCCCTAATTCCACTTAGGTTTGCTCACATCACTTGAAATGAGGCAAATAGCTGTATTGATGGAAATAAACCACATGCAGCAGCAGGATGCATGTTGTACCTTGTTCATTGCATTACAGCACTTAGATTGTCCATCCTCAGGATCCAGTAAACTCTGCCTTTACACCCAATCTGGTAATTGTATTTTATTGCCTGAGGCAACAAAGTGAGACCCCACTGGATAAATACTTTAAAATTTCAGAGTATCCAGATTTCAAACATGTAAACGTACTTGCTCAGAGGCTGCCTCCCACTCTGACTTGGCATAAGCTTATGGAGAAACCATCTGATCAGTTGTGCACTGTTTGATTCAAGAGAATTACTGCTGCCTTAGAGCATGTGAAGGGAGATGACAGTCTTGGTTAAGTTTAGTTTAAAGGACAAAGTTGATCCATGACTTAATTAAGTAAAAGTATACTGCTAAGACCAAAGGTTCTGCTGTCTTCTGCACTGTGACCTGCTTCATCTGTCCTGCAGCTCAAATTCCTGCAAGAGGAGTATTTAAATGAAGATACTTGAAAACCGTAAAACCCTCACTTTTCTTTCGTTTGCTGAGAGCCAGCCTTAAGTAATCAGATGGTGCTGAATGTCTAGACATGTTAAAAATAGCTGTCTTTTTTGGCATGTTTAAGTTCAGAACTGCTTTCATTATTAATTCCTTGCTAATCTTTCACTGATGCTGCTCAAGCCAGTGCTAATTGTGCCTACTGCTGCATGACTCCGTTAAGCAAGAATAGTATTTATGGCTCAAAGAAATGTGAGCTGTGCTAACCATAAAGATTTAAGTACATTTGTTGTATACAGTTCATTATGATTATTTTTTTAAACTTTTAGAATCATGCCAGTGTAAAGAGAGGATACATATCCTTGTGCTCTATTTGATATAACCTCAAAAATGCTAGAAATTATACTCTAGCAGAACTAAAGTGCATTGGTATAATTAAAAATAGCCAGTACACAAGATATATCTACAAGTTCAAATTCCTCTTTCTCGGATACACCTTCATCCTTACACTTCTGGCTGGGGCATCTGTTCCCCCAGGGCTTGAGCTCACATGTCTGATCTCAAATGCCATCTGGGACTGCCCATACCTGTACTGACTCTGGGCTGTACCTGAGGCTTATTCCCTCTTCCCCTCCCTCTCCCAAGCTTTCCTGTGGGTGAGGAGGATGCCTCTGTAGCCCTGACCATTTTATTTTGCATTGCTAACATGGGATGATGCACCTAGGGTATTTCACAGTGGTTATACAGTAAACCAAAAATAGCAGAAATAGCAGAGCGCAGTAACAACTATTTTATCTCCTCTTCTGGAAAGACCACTGCTTTAATGTATATAATTTCAGAAATAGTGGTATATGGAAATACTCATAGCTATTTTAGGCATGTTGTAGAGAGCATACTGTGGTGAATAAAATGCATTTTAAAGAGAACCAGGAAGAAATTGCTTTACTCCACAACCCGTAGAAGCAAGCATCTCCTTAAAAGATTCTTTGCTCCCAAATACAAAGAACAAACACAGTTTAGCTATGAGCACATCTGTTAAATGCAAGAAAAAAAAACAAGTGCTTTCTCTGTAATTCATTTTCCCTGTAAAACACCGTAGAGGTCTGGAATCAGGATCCTGCTAATTTTGCAGCTTCTCCAGGTGACCTTCAGGTGACAGCCAGAGAGGCTCACCATTATCAGTCCTAGCCTTATTTTACAGTTAACTGTTAAAAAGGTGACAGTACTACTGCAACTGTTAAAAGTTCTTCTTCCCTAAATGCACTTTAATTGAGTTCACTGTCAAAATATCACGAAGCTACATACCATCACACAACTGGCTGGTTTAGGTATGTCAGCTAGAGTATGAGCTGTGCATTTCTTAGAAATTGAGAAAGGAAGTTATGGGCAGCTGTATTGGTGTTCCCATTGCTGGTCTCTTTGTCTCGCTTACACCTTGCAGCATGTGTGGTTATGCCCGTGCAGCATTTTGTGAGCTTCCCGAATCAGCTGATACAGGTTAAAAAGAAACTTGAGAAACAGTTCCCTAGTTTAGCAGGAGAAGGTTGGTTGGAGTATTAATTGACCTGCTTGCTGCTAAAACTCCATTGCAACTCCCTTGCAAAGCTGAGTTTTGTAGAGCCAGCCAGAGTGGCCTTCAAATCAGTGGGCCAGCTATGCCAAGAATGAGCAGAGCAGGAAAATTGCTTACTAGTCTCACACCAGAAAATGACAATATTCCTTTCTTTCTTGAAGAAAACACCTATTACATTCCAAGTGTAACATTTTAATTTCAGTATTTTCCAAAGCAAAGTATATGTAAGCAAACCACATCCTTTTATTTCCATCCATTTATTTCCTGTTTGAATTACTAACTTCCAGAAATGATGATGAGGGATATAATAGGATACATAATGGATCAGCATGTGTTTATGTAGTGAAGGAGGGTGTAAAGGGTATAGATAGAGAAGAACAAAAACGCATCAGTAAACACTGAATTTGTACGAAGGATGTAGTGTTAGGAGTGTTCTTATTAGAAGACTCCACACTTGCTGGCAGAGGAGAGAACGTTGCTCTACTGTACTGACAGGAGAGAATATATTTTAAAAGAAATGAAATCGCCTTAGCAGCTTCTGGACCAGACTTTTGGGCAGAAGGTAGATGTGTGATCGAGGTACATGACAAATTCATCATGCAGTTTTACATCTTATTCTAGAGGTGTCAGCTCTGCGCGTATTGGATAGATCTATAAACGTATGGTTTGTATCAGTTACTCTTTAACACCTGCAGCACCTGCACTTGTTTTTCATTTCCTGTGCTATTTTCACAATATTTTTTTCCACAAAGTGCGAGTTAAGATTAAAGATGAGGTATGAGATTTCACTGCTGAAAATATGCTGGTAACATTTCTCTTGAGAAACTCAGTTTATGATGGATTAGTATCTGCTGTTTGTTATCAGCACTTGTCATGCTGCTAATCTAAAAACAGTGTCCATTTGACTTCTTGGGTGGCTCAGGAGCCATGTGGCTTTTAATTCCTTCTACGTTCACTAGTAAAGAGCTGTCCTGTGGTTTGCATGGTGAGCTGGTCTGAGGCAGGGACCGGTACTTGCACTAATGGTCAGGGGCTATCCCCTGGTAAAGAGATTAGTAGGGGAAAGATCGTACCTGCATGGTCGTGCAGATTTGAGGTCAGATAGATAAGGCTCTCCAGACAGGCAGAATTGGAGGTAGTTAAAAAAACAATAGCCTCTGAAGGAGTCTCTCTAAGTCTCTGAACAGCTGGATGTCCTGCAGGAGCCTCTGAAGCAGCAATACTGTTTCTGCTGCTAAGAGAATTGCAAACCATGTTCACTGGAGTGGAAATAGGTTTAGGGGCACCATCACTGGAAATGTGTTCACAATAAGGATGAGAGAAGTATGTGTGAATCCTCCATCCAGAACCAGTGCAGAGCACCTCTATGTTACTCTGACATTGAGCTTCAGTTACTATCTTGGAGCAAAATGAATTCAGTAAAGGAGTCACAGTATCACAGTATCACAGTATGCTAGAGATTGGAAGGGACCTCGAAAGATCATCTAGTCCAATCCCCCTGCCGGAGCAGGAACACCTAGATAATGTTACACAGGAATGTGTCCAGGCGGGTTTTGAATGTTTTGAGTGTGGCGGGGCTCACACAAGATGTAGTGAATCTTGCTGAATGGATACAGTGATTTCTGAGAGCTTTTGATCACCTTAGAAACCCACTTGTATGATTTTCCTTTGCAATCCCATGTTCTGATTCTTATTTTCTTAAATTCTAAAGGATTACCATGATGAGAATTGTTTAACTTGTATATCTCTGATATCGTAATGAACTGAACTTTGTTGTTGTGATCAGGAAATGTTTGATGTAATTTTGGATGAAAATCAGCTTGAAGATGCTTGCGAACACTTGGCAGAATATCTTGAGGCGTATTGGCGTGCTACTCACACCACCAGTAGCACACCCATGACTCCTCTCCTTGGGCGAAATTTAGGATCCACTGCACTTTCACCATATCCTGCTGCAATCTCTGGATTACAGGTATGTAAATACATTTCAGCCCCAAACCCCAGTGCAGATTAGATGGGGATTTTTTTAATTAATGGGGAAATAGCATAATATGTTTTATATATCATAACTTATATTTGCTTTATCAGTTGTTTTTATCTAGGGCACATAGGGATAGGATAAGGGGGAATGGCTTTAAGCTTTAAAAGTTTAAAATTTTTAAAAAGAGGAGAGATTTAGATTAGATGTAAGGAAGAAGCTCTTTACTGTGAGGGTCATGAGGCACTGGCACAGGTTGCCCAGAGAAGCTGTGGCTGCCCCATCCCTGGAAGTGTTCAAGGCCAGGTTGGACAGGGCTTTGAGCAACCTGGTCTAGTGGAAGGTGTCCCTGCTTGTGCCAGGGGGGTTGGAACCGGATGAGCTTTAAGGTCCCTTCCAACCCAAATCATTCTGTGATTTTATGATTATTCACTGTTTGGTCACCAGCAGTAAGAAGTCAAGCTAGAGCCTCTAACTGGTGAAACAGCAGTCAAATGATCCAAGTGCTGAAGCACTGCGACTGCTCTTTAATGGGGAATAACATGTTCATAATTTTTTTTGGCAAGGAGTGAGTTCTTGAGGAAGAGTTAAATGACACTCGTATCAAGTGGCATTGTAGCCATATTAGAAATTGACCCATTTTTTTAATCTGGAAAAAACGTCATTGCAAATGTGACCTGTCTGGTTGAGAATAAGCATGTATAGTATGTCAGTGCAGTTGAGCTGTAGTTAGGAATGCAGAACAGTGCCTGTGATGATCCTGTTGATGTCTATTCTCATAACTTCATCACAAAACATTCACTTTGGGGTGAAAAACTTCCATACTTGTCTTTTGTATCAGCAAAATGTCTTCACCTTTTTGAGTATGAATAAAATAACATTTTTTTAACCTGTTGAAAAAAATTCTGACCATTTTTTTCCACAGGGATAGCTCAAAAACGGCTGAACTTTGAAACTTCAAACGTGGCATGTAAATAGTCCTTAATGAGAAGTACGTGCTTTACTAAGTTTGAAAACAGAAAATGTTTTTGATTAATAGTTATGAATGCTTGAGAACACTAGGATTGCAGCAAACTTTTAATTCTGAATATTTCAGGAGTTCTGTATGTGTGTGACTTTCTAGGAGTGTGCATTTTCTAACATGTCAACAGTAGAGCTGAGTGAATTACATGTAATGAATAATTCACCTGAGAAATTTAACCTTTGTTCTGCTTGTAGTGTGTCTGGAAGCAGGTAACAATTTTGAAGGAATTGATGCCTTGGTCAGTGTTTTCAATTAACATAAAGCTCTTTTTCCTGTGAGTGAATTGCACTTCACTGGAGGTGCATGTTACTTGATACTCACATTTCTAATGCTGTGCTTGATTTTATTAGGATCAGTAAGGCACTGTTTCCTCACTGGCTGAGTGCACAAGCACTGTTCTGTTACTAATGATGTGCACATGTAAACTGTTGTTTCCATTTTCACTTGCCTTAAAATTTCAGTTTTTCCATCCCTTCATGACAATAAAATGCCATCTGCAGAACTTCCACTTCTTCAGTTTCATTTTGAAAACTGGGTGTATCCACAGAATTTTTTTCAGGCATTTATTTCTCTCTGATCAATGGACACCAGCAGTAACTGTGAAATGTTGCTCCATTTACTTAGGGAAAACTCACACTGAAGATGAAAATCACCCCTGTGCAGTGGGCTGGCTGAAGGTATGCATCACATAATCCCCACTTCACCCTAATCGTGAAGGCTTAGGTGGGACTTGAATGGTGCTAGTTCTCTGCAGAGGGGTAAATTTCTCCCTGAGTGAATGATGCCCAACTAGAGACTGCAGGATCTGGCTTTCAGTGCCACTCAGATGCTCGGGCCATTTAAAGAGTGCTGATGTTTCACATGGTTATCTCATAGTAAAGACTTCCAGCATCTGGAGGGCTTATCCACAAAAACGGTTTATACTAATTCAAGCCTTTGGAAGGATTTGCATCAGTTTTAAGTGTAAAGATGTAGTGTGGTAATTAAAAAGCACTCGTGTGAATCCTAGGAATTAAATCAGCTTGGGTGCTTATGATATATTAAGAATTTATACTTCTTATGACCTTGCGACTCCTTCTTGCCTGATACCTGGAGGAACTGAATACCAAAAGCCCAGAGCCTCGTGTAACAGTCACACCTGAGAGTGATACAGATTCACTGGGACAGTCTGTTCTTATATCACCTAATCAGGACTTGGGAGTTATCCATCCCTGTTTTACTCATTATGTCTTGGAACGTAGTTTACTAAGAACTGAAACTTCTGATGTAACTTAACTCTCTGGGCATAGGTCATCAGGGTGAAGCTGAATGGCATAGGTACAGAAGAGTCTGATTTAAAGAGAAGGTGTAGGGGACAGTGTGCTCCAGCTGTCTCCCATCACACTGTCTGGTACACCTACCAAAGCTGCTGGTCATTTTGTCCTCCTTGATTATGACCTTACTTAAAAGGGGAGGATGTCCATGTTGAGCTCTGTGTGTGGCAGTCCTCAATAGGAAGAGTAAATTTTGTCATTGCTAACTTTTATGGACCAGTCATTTGCCTTTGTATCTAATCCCTGTTGAGCTCTAAAGCTACATAGTTCAGTCTAATTTCAGCACATGGAGTTAAATCCTGTAGTTTGAGTTTGGGGGAGGAGTGTTTCTTAGGCTCCAGAGGATTCGCATTTCAGGTGCCTTTACTGCAGAAAATGTAATGCAGTTTATCATTCCAGTTGTGCTGCAGGATCAAAATTATTGGGGGCATGAGACCAGCACGTAACCACACCAGTTTTGTGCCACACTTACACCTCTTGGGAGGTAAATAATGGGATTGGAATAGCTACACAATTGAGGCAGGGTAACAGAAGGGTTTGTAGAAAAGAGCAGGTTGCAGCCACAGAGGTAAATTACTACAAGGAAGATGGAGGGTGTGAGCACAGGTGATTATATATCAAAACTGCATGCCGAATAAATGCAAGAAGCATAATTTGTGAAGAAAATATGTGGACTTTGACATATAATCACTACTAAAACCTGATGCTGTAAGGAGAACTCGGGGATAACATGGTAGAAATTGCTAGTCAGTACCTGTGTGTGTGAATTTGCAGAAGGGCCCCTCTTCTGTGCCATTCATTAAATGGAACCTCAGTGAGTATTACCTTGGTCGCATCAGACAGAAATGTGACTGCCATGCTGTAAATGAATACCCGCCTGCACAGTTACCTCCCTGTACCTGCAACAGGTACAGCCATTGTGGCAGTGTTCTCTTGGCAGTTACGGGCAAATTACATCAGGTGTCTAATCTAGAGAAAGGAAAGTATGGACTAAGTTTGTACTGAGAGTATGGACGGCTGTTCTCTGCAGAGGTTTAAGCAAATGAAATGCTTTTTTTTTAGGCAGCTTCTTCATTGTGCTGGTTTACTGGCAAAAAATACAGACTGATTTTGGTCAGCAAGTGTAGCACATTGTCATTAGGGGAATATAAGGATAGCAAAGGCTAAACCTTTCAATTAATAAATTATCTTAGAAAAGGATTTTCTGTCAACGTATTTAAAATATTTATTATGTTTTAGTTGAAAGAATCTGTTAATATCTAATAATTATAGGCACCCCTTAGCTGCCTGTTTAGCAGCCCATTGTTTGCTTGGTCATATGAAGGTTTTTAGTTCGGACTCAGAGCTGCACCTTTTAAAAAAACCCAACAATACAACAAACATCTTCAGATGTTTTTTAAGACCACTTAGATCAGAGCTCCAAATTTCCTAAGCAGAATAGCAGCATAAATGTTATGTTCATGATCAGAGAAAAGTGATAAATGCTGAATACATCAGCTCACTTTTCATGCTAAATGGCCTGTAATATTTACCAAGGTGAATCCTATGAGAGGTACGCACTATAACACTGCCTTTGGTCTGCTTTCAGCTCTAGGAACCAGACTATTTTTGTAACCCATTCCTGTAGCATATAGGCTTTAATATAAAATGAATAACACAAAAGTGGATGGATTCTGAAAGACCTCAGAATAAGTCTCAAAACAAGCTAATAAATGTGAAATACTTTTTGTCTGCATTAATGCTTGAATTCTTTGGCACTTGTAGAGCCAGCGTATGAGGCACAGCAGCCATTCCGCAGAGAACTCTCCAATTGAGCGACGAAGTCTAATGACCTCAGATGAAAATTATCACAATGAAAGGGCTCGGAAGAGCAGGAACCGCTTGTCTTCCAGTTCCCAACACAGCCGAGATCACTATCCTCTAGTGGAAGAAGAATACTCTGACTCATACCAGGGCACGTACAAACCCCACAGGAACCGAGGATCCCCTGGAGGATACAGCCATGATTCACGACATAGGCTTTGAGTTCAAGAACCCGGGGAAAAATAGTATCCATCAGTTAATAATTGCCATAACATACCTAGGAAAAGAAATTAAAAATCAGTCATGTTAATTTGGCAGATGTAACACGGTCATACTGAAGTTGCACTCTGCTGTCACTTGATGTTAAGTAGGGGGCAAAAAAAAAAAGTGACCAGGCCCTTACGTTTATGCCAGATCATATAGGTTGTTTTTTGGGTTATTTTATTTTTAGTACAGCATTTGCATTTATAGCCATATTTTCTTGTCATTAGATATTGAACACATCCATTTGTAATTTAGGGTACTTATCAAGGCACTTATAAAATAATTTCCTGTGCTGGAAATTCCAAATGACCAGTTCCAGTTGGAACCAATTTATAAACCAATTCCTGTTGGAATTCGGGTGAATTGACTGGAAAGTCGACTTGAGCATGTTGCAATCAGGTTAAAAAAAAAAAAGACAAATGAAAAATCTGAAAATTAGAAACCACTAGAAGCCGGACAGTCAGCTGTTTGTTTGCTGGAAGCTTAATTTACATTTAAAGTTAGAATAAGAGGATTTATTCTAGCTACTTATTTCCAGAATGTTTTTTTCAGACAGACCAAATGTAAACTATTGAGAGTGCCAAATATCACAAATTATTGCAGCAGTTATAAAATACTTTCCAGTTTGAAATTCTTTTTTAGACCTGGCGTGAATGTTGCAGCAAAACAATTCCTTTAGTTTAGCCAGTACTGACATTTTTGTTGCAGACAGCAATGATGAACTGTATCAGGAGAAGGGGAAATACAAATGGGAAAATGAACAAACTTACAACTAGTTTGTATGGTTAGAGGTTGAGAATAGCTTTTTTTTAACCTGTTTCCCTCTTGTTTTCCCTAGCTAGCAGTCCCAAAATGGAACATTAGTGTTTAGATACATATCTTTTTTCCCATTTTTTAGTATTCTGCCTTTTTAAATGGAAAATGATACACTTTTCTTACCCAGTGTGTAGAGCACTACATTCCAGTACATCTGAGTAACTCCCTATGTGTTACATACTTCAAAATCCATCTCTGAAATGTCTGAAAATTCCAGCATCGCACAAGAACTCTCCAGAAGATCAGTTTAAATATCAGTAATGAAATCTGAGGAAGGGAGAGGGGTTAAATACTTGTAAATCATGAGCATTTAAAATAACACATTGGTCAGAATTAGATTGCAATAAAAATGGAGTATCAGAAAAAAATCAGCTCATGGCAAAGTGGTAGAACTGACATTTTTGATTCAAAGAACTATGATAAATCTTTGGAGATGTTGCTGCCTTACTTCCTAACAATCACTTCTTTTCACCTACTGAGTCTTCAATTTCTTTAACTAGATAAGTTGATGTGATTGGACCTTATGTCTTATGCGATCAGTGAAGCCTTACATCCAGTGTGACTGAAAAATTCACCATAATAGACCGTTTTGTACAACTCTCTAATGTCTTTAAGCAGAGACTCCTGGAATTCCCCACTGCATTTCTAAAATTGACAGAACTGTGCTGATCATCCTTTTTTTTATGCAGGTTCCTGTCAAAACTTTTTGTTGTTGTTGTTTTGCTTTTTTTCCCACAAAAAATGAGGATCATTGACTTTTGTATTTTATTTTCTAATATATTTTCTATTTTATTTTCTTCCCAAAGCCTGCTAAAAGTAGGCTTTTAACCACGCAGCACAAAATTAATTTCCTGAATATTACTGTATTACTGTTTCTTCTATTTTCTGTACCAGTTAGCAAAGATCACTGGTATTTTCCACCACCATTGAGTCTGGTTATCTTCTTGATGTTAGCAACAAGAAAAGTAATTCATCCCATATCCAGTAGAAGCAAAAATTAGGTACATCTCTAGCAGCGTTAAAAGATTGCGGATGCATGATTAATTTTTTAAACAACTTCACTGCCTAAAAGGCAGCTTTCAGCACCACTGGATGATTTGAACGAGCCAGTTACCAAATCAAAAAAGGAAAATATCTGCATCCATTGGAGTAGCAGAGTTAAGGATTGATGTGACAGGACTGTTCCTGTATAATTTTCTCAGCCTAAGTGCTTGCAGGTTCAAAAAGGGCATTTAGGCTGAGAGAGCATGGCAGGATCTGGCCTGGGAAGGGTGGCTTGGGCTGCCTTCTCTAATATTTTCTGCTATAGCACAGTGGAGTATTTTCCAGTAATTTCTACAAATCTCTTGTTACATGTACAGCACACATACCTGCATGAGAAAGAAGGCATTAGGCAAAACATTTTTACTATAAGCTTTAATAAGTTTCTTGTTTGTGTGCATTAAAGTATTAATTGCAAAGGATGCACTGAGATGTATAAACCTAGATTAGCTGTTTATTCTGTAGTAGCATTAGGGATCAGATCATTTAACTGCTTGAAGATATTTGCATTTTAATGGCAGGTAGCTGTGAAGCACCTACATATATTTTCTAGTAAACAAGGTTACTGCTTTATCATTTCCTAGACAGAAATGTCATTTACTTCTAGAGCCTTTTGGAGCCTTGTTTTTAAGTCTTCCATGTCATGTTAGTGAAGGGAAAGGTCTACAAAACATATATGCACAAATTCCATCACCTGCAGCATCTGAAGTGCCAAAACTATTCGTTTGTTCTAATCAAAACAAGCTTGTGAGGGAAGTCATGTATTGTCTTGAAAGAACACACCATATTCCTTTACTGTGTGGGTTTAAGTTTACTACTGTGTGCAATTAGTTTACCCTCTCTTCTCCCACTGCCCATTCCATTTTAATGTAAGAAATCAGCAGTGATCCAGCAGGTTTCCTTGCTTGCTGGTTTTTATTCTTTGAAGACAGATACATCTTTAAGTACAAATATACCGAACTTGCTAATAGATCATTAATTTATTCTAGATACAAGCTATGGGAACTCTATTTTAAAAAGTAAATTATTTTTAGGAAATGCGGTAATCGGTAAAAGCTGCAACGTTGATCAGGACATGTTAACTCATAGTATTTGTATTAGAACTTCAGCAGTGCTAGCCAGCTGTATTGTGATTTCTTCTGCAATGGCACTATATACAATTGTGAAGTTCATGTATTCCTGAATGAACACGAGTAAGACTAATTTTCCAGTCCTCATGCCATTTCTTCTTGTTATTATATTATTAAAGATCAGAGTTCTGTTCATAAGCTCTGGCTTATACAGAGGATTTTAGACATACTGATAAAACATTTTAAGTTGTTATCTGAGTTTTCGTGAGGATGCTTTTGCACTAATGACAATTTACCCAATAAAGGTGGTAACAACAATCTTGGTATCTTAAAGACAGTATATGTCAGGGCATTCATATGTTTGTGAATGAATTAACAAAAGTTTTTAAAATCCTGAAGCCACTATAAAGACAATTAATTGGTAAACTTTAAAGTACTTTGGCACGTTGTATTTAACAGACATACAGGTTCTTTTACTAGTTCCACATATGAACATTTATCCCATGGGATGTGCAACGTGCAACTGATTATGTTTTGTGAGTATGAAATTAGGCTTAAAGGAATGTAACTGAAGCTGTTCTGTATCCAATTTTAGTTTAAAAACAGTGGGCCAAATCAGACTATCATTTTGTACACAGGTTGGTCTGACAAAAGTCAGTCCCTCTGCTCAAGACTTCATGGCATAGTACGGCCCAGACCGAGATTTTATCCTGACAAACCATCTTGCCATGAAAATAGGTGGCACCCCTGACTTTGGACTTGATAAGCATGATTGGTTCGTGAAGCAATTGCTGTTTCCTCAGCCTGCTTCTGATCCCATATGGTTTTGTGTTAACTCCAATGGGCCCAGATAAATTCCGTGTGCCTGGGAGGGGATGTGGCTCCACGACTCACAGCCTTGCCAGTGGTGGCACTCACAGTTAGTGCTGGGTTTGCTGCAAATAGAGGGTTTACTGTGTTTTCTCCAGGTTTGAAAGCTGCTTCTGAAGTTGGGAAGGGGGGGGGTGGGGGGGTGGATATTAACCTTTTGTGCTCCTTGCTTTTAAAATGTTTAATACATACTTCAGAGAGTGAAAATTGCAGAAAGGAGGAAGTGAGCTGTAGGAATAATAAGGTGACAGTAGTTCCTCTGGGTGTGCATAGGCCTGTAACTCCAAGTTCAGTTTGACTGAAAATCTGAATTCAGTTTGGACTCAGTGCCACAGGCTTCTCTGAAACATCCCAGAATCTCATCTCCCTATTGGCACTGCCATTCTCAAAATAATACTGCTAGTACTATTACTTTATGACATACTGATTTGAGTAAGTTAGGGCTATCATTCGTCCTTTTTTCTTTAAGAATATATTAAATGTGACCTCTGCTATATTTTGTTTTACAGGTTCAGTGCTTCTGAAGCTTAACCTTGACTTTTTTTTGTTTTGTTTTTTTTTAAAGCACAAGTAATTGGAGACCACATATTAAAAAATCAGATGCATGTTTTGTAAAATACCACTTATACAAATCTGATTTTGTTCCTAAAAATGTGTATTTTAAAACTGGGTTATATTACTACAGTTGGTATTAATACAAGTTTGGATTCATAGGATTCTGCCACCATGTATTTTGTTGCAGTTGCCTCTCTTTTCTTCAGATAGCTCTACAAAGAGTAACAGGACTGCAAGATATGGTAATATAGCCAATTTTAACTCCAGGGAAATTAAGTTCTCTCTGTCTGTAAAACAATGACAAAAGCAATGTACTATTTGAAGAGTCAGCATTTGAATAACCTTTATTAGGTTGTTATTCAATTTATTTTACATAGAAAAATAAAAGGACATTTTAATAACGTGGTGAAATATATGTAAGGAACTAACTTGGAGAAAGAGCTGAAAATGCTACTTAGTATTGAAATTTGTAGAATGCATTTAAAAAGAGAAATACTGAATCCATAGAGACAATTTTGGGAGAAGGTAGATGTAATTTAAAAATGTTAGTAAGAGTGTGTCATTCCTTTATTCCTTTGAACATGGTGAAACTGGGAATAGCACTGGCTGGGTCTCTGTGAGGTTTACGAGGCCTGCCTTTTCCCCTCAGATTTTTTGGCAGTGAGTTACTATCTGGACTAGATCCTACAGACACCTACAACTGGACACAGTTTATAACTGTCTGCTCCGAGAGTCGGTATTTGCAAGGTCTGACCACAAATATTACATACTGATTATCTGATGCCTTATCAATATCTCCTGAAAAACAAATTGTAATTAAATTTAACGCCACAGTCCCCTTTGGTATGCATTCTACTCTGTATAAGCAGTAGGAAATCAATATAGTGAGAAAATCTATTGTACAGTACAGAATAATATATTTTGCCAATGATGTACAAACAGAGCAAGGAAAAAGAAGCACATTTATAACAGCACAAATTTACAATAATTCCACTGTTGCATTTTGAGGTGTATTTTTGAAAAAAGGGGTAGACTTTTTGATCCTGCGTCAGTGGATTTATTGCATTTTTGATCAGTTAAACTTGCTGCCTGATATGTCAGCAGTTTATTTTATGCATATGTGATTGTTTTTTCAGTAACTGTCTCCTTCCATATTAATTAAGGAAAAAAAAAAACAAACCTTTTGAATTAGAAAGTCCACTGCATTTCTTGCTAATTTCCTCCTCAATGCTGAAATTGCATTAATAACTTCTGATTTTGGCTGGTGTATAGATTTTTGGCATATGACTGATGAATACACCACAAATGCACTAAGAACCCAAGGTCAGGAGTTAAATACTCCCAGTAAGTTCGTTCTTGGGGCTACAGAGCTACTTGGTTTAATGTATGGGGGGGATGGGGAGGTGGGGAGAGAAGAACGTTACACTGCAAGAGCTGTGGAGAAGTACACCCAAAACCTTCCACTGATACTGCTGGGAATTTAAAATGGGAGGAAAGTAAGTTTAAGGAATGTGTGTGTCTGTGGCCAAGGTGTATTTGCATTGGAAACACACCAGCTTCTCTTCTCATGCAGAGAGAGAAAGTCAGTGATATTGTACAGGAAAAGCATAGAAAGAGAATCAAGCAAAATGCAAACTGTATGTACACATGAGAAATAGAGGGGTGAAGAAAGATGAAAACGGTCATTCAATTTGCAAACTATGGACCTTGGCCTTCTCAGATCCTAGAAAATCTCCGTTTCTCACCCAAACTGGTTCCCAGTGATAGCTTGGCAGTGTTACCTCCGGCCTCACTGCGAGCCAGTTCAGAGTCACGCTGGTAAAGGTGTTACTGACTTTACAAAAAAAACCCAACCAAAACTAAAGAAATACCCACAAATGTGTGTTTTCTGCTGATTTGCCCCTTTCTGGTTTTCCTTCTATAGATACTGTATGTGTAGCATTCTACAAGGCATGCTGGGTAAAATATACTATGCAAATGTGTACAGTGTTGCATGCTCTGCTCTCCCTCTGCTTTTAGTGGCTTTCAAAGAAAGAAAAAAAAGTGGTGTTATTTTTGTGATCAGAATCATTTAAAAAGGACAATGCAGACTGCATGCTGATAGTATCCTCATTTCTATGGATTTGTTTTATGGAATTTAGATGTACAAAAATGAACTGCATTACAATAACTTTTCTACAATAAATGAAAAAACTACAAACCGTTTAAAAGTCTTTTAAGTTTCTTCGCATTCTGCACTCAAGATTGGAAAAAGCTCAGAGCCATCACTTGAGAAACCGTTCAGAGCATTGCGGTATTTTGTTTGCCGATAGCTTTTGGCAGCAGCTTCCTGTATTATGGAATTTTTAGTAAAAATTAATGAGATTCTGATGAAGGAGATGCATCTGGTCTGTGAAATGAATGATGTTTATTTTTAAATCCATCTGCTCTTAAATAGCTGCAACTCCAAAGTACATAAATACATATAATATCTCACTGTTCATGAGGAAGTAAAATATTTGCAGCCAACTGCTCAGTTGAAGGATTCTCATGAACTTTAATGGTCTTTGGATCTGGTTCTCAGTATGATCTCATGCTAATGTAAAGTGGGTTCCTGGACAGAAACAACAGAATGATGTGAGGCATTAAGGTCTGGTTATTAAAAAAAAAAAAAAATGCTGTTTATAACAGCTTGAAAAACAGAAAGCACTGAAAAATGCTGCTGCTTCCAAAGGGCGAATAACAGGAGCCAGCAACCAAAGAGAGATGCTGTGATCACCAAAAAAATGTGGAAGTACAGAGCTTATAAACTCGGTATGGCAGCAGGAGACCAAGCCAGAGCTGTGCAGAGCCCCAGCAGAGCAGTAAGGGCTCTGTGCCCAACTGTACTGCTAGGCTCCCCTGTACAACTGCCCTGAGGAGAGCAGTGGTGGCTGCTGGCAGGGTTCAGCTATGTGTCACCTATCAGGGTGTCCAGGCCTGGCAGTGCCTGCAGTAACCAGTGGCATGATGTGCTTGCACCTCAGCATTTCTGTCAGAAGCCTGCCTTTGAAGAACAGAAAGACTTCGCCAGGTAAGCTGCATGTTATGTGTGAATTAACATTGGCTTTTACATACCTAATGCAGAAGCAGGGCTTTTAAAATTGTTTAATTGAATTATCTTGTCTAAAGTGTTCAGAATCAGATATAAACATACAAGTTGTCATCTAAGCTGTTAATAAAAAGCTTAAGGTCTTCTAAATAAATATAACTGAGCCATGTATACATAAATGTATTCTTTTACGTGTTTTCGTATGATCCAGGAAGTTAGAAGTTCATTGTCTTCTCCACATGTTCTAGTTTCTTCCATATAGAAGTATTTTCCTCTCCACTGGTGAAAGTCTGCTGTAGGCAGACAACGCGCTTCCACAGTGTAGAAATGCTCAGATGACCCACTGAGCATTGAAACAAAATGTACATGACCTGAAAAAAGCTTTTCAGAACTCCAGGAGGAAACTGTGATTGTATTCACAATAAGCCATGCTGATTTAAGTGCTTTCTTAGAAAGCTGCCACCAGCAATAGGAAGCCCAACATTCATGTTAGCATGTGGAAAAACAGCAGTGCAATACAGGATAAACTAGGCTGCCATACAAATGTCCTGATAATTTAACTAACAGGGAAAACAGAGGTGAAATCCTAACAATAGCTTCCTAGCCCTAAAATACACCATACATTCATTCATTCTGTAAAAACATCACTGTTTTGCAGCTGTTGTGTGCAGGCAAGCCGGTGGTAGTCGTTACATGGGGTGTTACAAGGCAGGACCAAGGGGTGCTGGCTGCAGTCAATGTCCTGTCCAACACAGTCTGATGTAACTCCAACAAGTGGTGGTGGCAGACTCTTTGAAGTTGCTTTGGTAAGGCACAAGGTTTAACAAAACAAAACTACATGGATGAAAAAACCCTCAAAGCTCTTATATTTGCAGAATCAAAGTAAATGGTTTAATTGAATTTTGCTACATTCTCATGTATTTGTGCAGTCTGCCCAGTCCTGGAATGAACCCATGGATTTCAGGCTCACTCCGTGTTTACAACAGGAGAACTGAGAACAGAAATGAATCAAATGCATCTGAAATTCTCAGCTGAGGTATGGCAGAAAGAGGGATAACTGTCAGCTTATGAATAATTAATTCTGTTGCAGGCTGAATGCTGAACCTGTGGAAAGTATCACATTGGAGGAGCTGCTTCATTTACCTGTCAGTCACACACCATCCCTCTGACTGCAGCTCTCACACAGATGGACAGTTCCTGCTATATACCATGATTTCCTTTTTGCCTTCCCCCACCAGCTTCTCCGAAGCCGCTGCACCAAGCCAGCAGACATCCTTGTTTTTACTAAGAGGAATGAATAAACAAATGTTGGTAATTCCAGCAGCTGAACAGTATGGCAGGATATATATGCATTGCACTTATACAGGATAAAGTGTTGCTACTTTTTCAACCTCATGGTGTTTGTCATGTTTGAGGTTAAAAATTAGCAATGTAGCTCTAAAACAGCAGTCCCAAACAATACAGGGCAAAGAGCCTTTGTATCGAGCAAGATGCTATTTTTTTTCACAGACTGTTGGTGGCTGTTTAGCAAACAGTGGTTTCACAGAAGAGCCGGAGGGTGTCTGGGCTAACCATGCTTTCCCTGCCACATTAGGCAGCCCATACCGCATCACTGTTGTCAATGCTGAAAAAGGTGTAAAGCATGAGCACCATGGACAATACTACATTATATCTAGTTATTTTAAACCTGAATGACTACAGATCTGTTACTAGTGCAGTGCATTATTTATTTTTATCCTATTAAAGTTGGAACATGCCAGTTTATTATCAGGATATTTTTCAACTGTTATGGACCATATAGTCCCGTTCACTGCCACAGAAAGCATTAAAGCTTGCAGGCACAGACAGAAACTCATAGATTACTACTGGCCTTGCTACTTTGAGTATGGGCCAATACTGCACCAGGGAAAATAAAAGCAAGAAGCCACAATCAGAAAAAAAGCTGGTGGAAGGAAAGAAGCAAAAAACTCTGAAATGAGAAAGGAGTAAATCATATCAGAGGTGGGGCAGAAGCCATGTGAGAAGGTGAAAGCAGCATACCAGGCAGCCAGTAAGGAAGGTGGAGATAGAACTGAGGGCAGAAGTGTGTCAGCTTGCAAAGGAGCAGGGGGAAAAACACAGCCAGTGGTAAGCGCCTCTGTGGACAGGAAAAGGGAGGCTGTGGTGCAGGTGAGAGGGCAGTACGTAATGAAAAGCAAAGCCATCAACATGTACTAGCAATGACGGAAAGTTATGTTATGGAACACTCATCGTTATGAGGAACACAAGCATGCCCAGAGGACTTTAGGCAAGGAGCTTCCCTGTCCCAGGTAAGACATCCCATCCCAAAATAAGCTTCCCCATGTTGAGATGGAGGCTTCTCCATCCCAGCTAGGGACAGAGCACAACTCCAAGGCTAGCCCAGTTACCACCTGGCTATCAACAAAGAACTGCATGTGATTGCTGTGGTGGTAAGCAAAGCCTCCAAACCCTAATCTTCAGAGAACATGCCTTTTGAATATAAAAACAGGCTTTCCACCAGTTTCGCTCTTCCACATTATCTCCCAAAGTTGTGTTTGCTCTTTCATAGAAGTGCAGGCCTCGCTTTTCCTTACCATGCCCACCAGTGTTGTTTAAAATGAAGATGTGCCTAACAGCTGTGCAACCTACCCCTGGCTCCCTGGAGTATGAATACTAGTGCTAGAAATACCTGTTGCCCAAATTCACACCATCACTGGTGTCACAAGACAAACATGACTGTCACATGTAAAACTGTTTGTGCAGCAGCTAATGAAGGCCTTGGGGCTGAAATGCATGGGCTACGGGGCAGCTTTACACATAAGGGTAACACCATGGTGCTTCTGTTAGAGCACTGGTTTGGTCAAGGATAAAATAAAATTGCAGCCATCACCCCATGTCTTGTCTCTAGCATACCACGTGCGGGCACTAAAAACCTATTTATTAAAGGGTTATAAAAATAATCATAAAATCGATTAGGTTGGAAAAGCCCGTTAAGATGACCAACTGTAAACCCCAGCACAACCAAATGCACCACCATCCCTGCGGCTTTAAACGCTGCGGCAGGTCTGGGCACAGGGATTTATCTTTGCGGCGGGCCGGATGCTTTGAACGGCCGCAAGTACCAATGCGAACTCTGCGTTCCCTCAGCTACTGAGCGCCTACCCCTTCACACGCACCACAGCCCTCACTACACACCGCTAAGGCGGAGACGCGTAATGGCGGCCTGCGCGGTTGCTCCGCCCCCGCTACGTCGCGTCGCAGCGACGCGCCCGCCCCCACCTCCCCCGTCCCTACGGTGGCCGCGGAGTCGTTCGCGGCAGCGCGTCGTGTCGCGTCGCTCCCACCGCTCCGCGGCCGGCCCGGACAGGCGGTGAGGCGAGAGGAGCGGCGCGGCGGCTATGTCCGAGAGTGAGCAGGCCCGGCGAGGCCCTAGCCCGCCTTTCCGCCGGCAAACCGGGCTCTGGGCCGGGCCCTGAGCCGCCCTTGGCCCGGGAGCGGGGTGAGCCCGCGGTAGGTGCTGAGGAGCCGGCGAGGCCCGGAGCTGCCCCGGCTGAGGATGGGGATCCTCTTCACCAGGATCTGGAGGCTGTTCAACCATCAGGGTGAGGGCGAGGCTGCGGCCCGCGAACGTGTCGGGGCGCGCAGGTGCCGGGCCGGGCCCGCTCGCGGCGGATCCCCGCTGCCTGTGCACCCGCTGTGGGGCTGCGGGAGGGGTCGAGGCGGCCGCGGTGAGGAATAGGGGGTGCAGGGAGCCCGCCTCGGTAAACTGGCACAGCTTTGGGTACCGAGGCTAAAGGGCGAGCTGGCGGCGTTTCCCCAGCACTGGTCAGGGTGGCTGGCAGGCGAGATGAAGCCAGAGAAGTTGGGGGGTTTAACCTTTCTGTCCTCTCTAAGTCAATGCAAAGCTCATTTCCTGAAAGGTGGACGTTAAATTATTAATATGAGCCGAAAAGAATACAGCTGTGTTGCATTGTAGTGCGTAGTTTCATCTTGTCGTCTGCAGAGTATGCTCTACTAACACTTTTAAGTTATACACCTCGATAGCTGGCAAAATTGCTCATTTATGGAGTAAATGTTATTTATAACTTCAGATTTGTAATGCTTGTCTCCTTACAGTTAGGTTTTAATGAGAGTTGTAACTAACTAAACTAACTATAGAACACACGCTGACGCTTTTACTGCTGTTGATAAGGTCTTTTGAATTTGTTTATGAGTGAATTTAAATGCTCTGCACATGAATGTTGAATGTCCCAGTTATGTGCCCGTTGACACTTAGTGCAAATACAGAACAGTATTTTTGTCTTGTAGCATCCAGCCCCACCTCAGATCTTCTTTTCCACTGATTTCCTAACGTCCACTATGCTGGCAACATCACACCAGAAACAAAAGTTCCTAGTTATGTGGGGTCAGGTAAGCAGATATTTTTACAATATTGTGCAGTTATGCAAAGTTATTAAAACTGGAATTTTTACTGATGGTATATAAGACAACTCTGCAAAACCACACAATATTGATAAAATAAAAACTGAGAAAACCCCACTTACCTGACCCCTATCCTGTCCCTCTGTGCTGAGTCAGTGTGAGTGTACTTTGCTAACAGAAGGAATTCTTCCTTGTTTGCCCAAAGCTTGGGCACATTTGTAATGAGTTTTTGTTGCCCTTGTGGACCACTGGGGAGGTACGAAAAAAAACACCTCACAAAACTTTTCCTTGCATGAGCAGTCCAGTTGAAGCCAAGGTTATTTGTGCAAGTAAAGGTTGTGTAATACAGCTGAGGGCTGGCAGCACTCACTTATCCTGGATATCATAAATTCGTGCTTGACAACACCCATCTGTAAAAATCAAATTTAATTTTGTGATGTATAGGAAAGAAGGTGCTAAATAAAAGCAGTGATTGATTCTGGCATTGAGCTCCAAACTGCATCTGCAGAAGTCAGAGTAGTTTTGTGTTACACTTGTTGGTTCATCTAAAACTAAATTGTGTGAATGCATACTGTATAGTATTTGTAGGCAAATCTGTTCTCCAGTTTCCAAACCTGCTAGAAGAGGACACTAAGGGAGATAGGTGGATCATTCTGCTTGCAGTGTAAATCGGTGTTGCTGTGCTTTTAAGCAGCTCTTTTCAAAGAGATTAAGATGTTGTAGGCCATAATAACGGTCTAGACTTGGAAATGAACATTTAACATGTTACATTTTACATTTAATATGTTACAATTTTAACATGAAATTTAACATTTAACATGTTGTCCTGGTAAGGATGTGTTCTGAAGAGCTGCTGTGGCTGGGGGAGTGCAGTCTGCAAGAGTCTGCACAAATGTGTAGAAGATTGTGAAAGGATTCTAAAGTGAGATTGCCCTAGCATGTTAGAGGAGGAAAAAAATCCACATATAATTGCTCAGAAATTGTTCCTGTTGATACTCAGATGGGGAAAAATTGACAATCACTTACCTGCTCGGAACAATACATGGGTTTGTACACCTCCACAAATAAACGTTTACGTATGGCCTGTGAAATGTGGCACCTGAAGTTTGGCAGTGTTTGCTTAGGAAATCGGTCTCAAATGCAACACTAACTTTGTTTCACTGCGTAGTTGTTATTGTGATAGCAAAGTTAACTATGTGACTTACTGGTGATATTTTTATTTCAGAGCACAAAGTAATCATTGTTGGTCTGGATAATGCAGGAAAAACAACCATTCTTTATCAATTGTAAGTATGAACTGCTGATGATGTCATGTATTTAAAGGTGTGCGTTGTATATATTACTCTTGGCTTGTGGTCACCACTTTCCTTGTAAGGTTTACTTTGAGAGCATCACAATGAAGATTACTGAACACTTATAGGAGGCAGTGGATCAGAGCACGTGTTCTAGAGTTTGTAAAGGTCTGTCGCTTGTCTGGTATATGAATAAGGTTTTGTTCAGAGCTTTTGTTTATCACATTACATTGCTATTATCACTTAATCACAGCTGCCTTTGTTGTCACAGTGTAGGATGTTTGCCAGCTCCATAAAATATGATTATATGGAGGAAGACATGCTGCTAAACTGATCCATGCCATAGCATGTAAATACTCAACAAATTGTTCTGTGAGTAAGTAGCAAAACCAGGGAAGCCTAACTTCTCCCTGCCATGACTTGTGTCCTCTGTGCCAAGATGTACTTTGATGTCATGTGTGGTACAGGGGGAAGGAGGAGGGCTGACCACTGGCTGAAGCTAGGACAACACAGCTCCATGACTGGTGGCAGCCCATGCTGTCGTGCAGCTTCTGCCTTTAGTAATGGCACTGAATTGTGTTTGTCTTGCATTAACTTTGCTACTTGTTTATGTGAAATTTGTATGAGCTTCATTATCTCTGGTCCTCGACTGCATTTTGATAAAAGGGAACAAATTTGTCCACAGACTCAGAAGTTTCTAGGTTGGACAGGCAGCTCAAGATCTGTTTATATTAGAAACAGATTTGTGATTTCTCGCATGAAGTAGTCTGGTATTAAAAAGTGTTTCTGAGTCAGTATCAGAAATAATTCCTCTTAAGTGTTATGGACATACTGGTCCAATCCTATGCTTAAAAATATGCTTACTTAAAATGTTTTGACAAATTATGGTTTGCTGAAACATGAAGCTCATGCAGTATTTCCAGCCATGTATAACCTAGCACACTCTGCAGAGAAAGTGAAAAGATGAAGTTGGTTGTAGTTATTTAAATCGTGAGTGAGTGATTTTAAGAAGCGTACATAGAATGAAGAATATTTTTTAAGACTAGTAACTGCTTCAGTTGAGGGCCATCCTTGGTGCACTTTGATGCTGCCTGTGTCTTTCCACTTCCTCCACAAATGTCTTATGATTCTTCTCATCTACTTATTTCTGCCGTCTCAGTGTTTTTATTTTCCCTTTTGTACAGTGGATCTCTATATGCCTTCTTTTCCCTTATGTCTGTTTTAGCTCCACAGGACTTCCCCTTCTCTTCTTGTATTCCTCTTCCCATTTGCTGCTTTGACAGAGCTCTGTATGAGTACTGTCCTCTGTTCCTGCTGCTTGACTCCTCCTGAACCCCTACCTCTATCTTTGCATTATTTTTTCTTACCCTTTCTTCGTGGTAAATAGGTGTTCTGAGCATGAATGAATATGTTTAACACTTTTAGTGAGAGATGGACCAAGACAACTAGTAGGATAACTAGTGTAGGTTAGTGCACTGGCTGTTCCTTGGATGATGTGGAGGGTCACAGCAGATGTTGGAGTGGTGATTCTTCTAACAGATTATGGCAGCTTCACAGACACTCAGTTTCTTCCCATTCTTGTACTTGGATCTCCTCCTTTCTCTCAGGTAGCAGGAGGTTTTTGTGATCAGGTGTCAACAGACGCCATTAAGCTTCAAGTTCACCTTGTTTCAACGGGAAGAGGGGGAAAAATCTGCCTATCATATTGCACCCTGCAAGATGCCAACAAGTTGAATGAGAAAGGCTGAAGGTTCAGACAAGGAAAGGGGGTTAATGACACACCTCTTCCAAGCATTAAAAGAATTCTGCCAAAACCTGGGATTTTTTTTGTTTGGTTTTGGGGTTTACTTTTTTTGTTGTTGTTCTTTTTTTAACATATGAAATCAGCTACAGTTATCATCTTGTACCATTTTTATCCTATAGTTTGTTCTTCTCTTTCTTTTGTATAGTTGCTTCAAATGTGTGTGGTGAGAGAGTTTCTTGTTCTTTTTAATAAGATGACCCTTGCTAAGGCACTGGGTAACTGAGATTCCTTTTCAGAACACTGGACAGTCGTTTCTCTCCTTGGTTCTCTGTTTTGAAGAAGTATTCCATCACCGTTACAAGTCTCAAATTGCTGTCAGTGTAACAAAAACCTTTGCTAAAGCTTCAAAGACATGGTCATATAAAATGAAAAAATATATCTGGATTATCAGAGGAATAAATAATGAAGTTCTTTGAAAATAGTTGATGTTTTCCTTGAAGGTACTTTTATGTTTTTTACATTTAAGTAATTTGAACTTTAGGAGTGCCCAGAGTACACATTTGTTTATTACTATTGATATGAAACTGGTGGTCTTAATGACAAAGTTGCACTTAGTATCTCTAAAACAATATATTTGAAATATATAATGTCTGCATTTGTTTCCAGAAAGTAGTGTTATTGAACTGCATTGAAGGGAGAAGAGAAGGAAGTTTGGACATAAAGCAACTGAATTGTGAAAGAAGTATGCTCTTAGTGGCTTACACTGGAAGGAAAGCAAGATGTAGTGTGTTTGATGAAGCTGGATGATGAGTTGTTTTTCTGCAACCTTGGAAATCTTGTGGCTTAACCGCACTCTTGAAGCAAAACAACTGCTCTCTCCCATGCGTGCCAAAATCAGCCTGGAAAAAGAAAAGCTGACTGCCTGAAACAGCTTCTGAAGCAAATATTTTCTTAGCCTTATGATCTAATTAATTATAATTATGTTTGTGAATGCTTTCTCAGCTCTGTAATTGATTATTATATAGTTCACTGAGTCCTTTTTTATTGCTACTGATTTTTATTTGCCTTTCACCATTATACCTTGTCCTGTTTGCTGCATAAGAAGTGTTTTCTGTAGCTTTCCCATGAAGTTTTCTACCTTGAAATAACCATCAAGTTTATTGTTTATAGAAGCAGGTTGATTTGGAGTCCTGAGTTACTTGATAAGGCAGGTAACTTCCCAGTTCTCACCGTTTCTCACCAACTTGCATTTTTCTCTCTGCAGCTCCATGAATGAAGTGGTGCATACCTCACCCACTATAGGGAGTAACGTGGAAGAGATAGTGGTTAACAACACACGCTTTCTGATGTGGGATATCGGAGGGCAGGAGTCTCTTCGGTCTTCATGGAACACCTACTATACAAACACTGAGGTAAGAATGAGCACCTTACTAGAAGACTTAGTGTCACCACTGCTGGTGGAGGGAGGGCCCGATACCAGAAATACTTCCAGAGGGCTGTTACGACTGTGCAGTGAATGTTACTGTACCTGCCTTAGGGCACCTCATGTTTTGATGTCCTGCTAAGTCTCCTCCTTAGCAAGCTGTTGTATGACTTGCTTTCATATTTCTTACATAAAATGCATAATACGGAGTTGCAATGAAAACCCATTTGTCTGCAAGAATTCTGTGTCTGGGCATCTGTGGCCTTAGGGCAGGTGCTCAGTTTGTCTTAGTATTGCAGGTCCCTATGGTTGCAGGTCTCTTCTTGTGTGGGGACTCCTCTGTTTCTGTAGCAGGTACTCTAAAGCCCATCTAACCCCTCAGGAGTAAGACTGAAAGCCTAAAAGTTTTCTTCCAAGACTGAGTTCTGTTGTGAAAACTTCCATAATCAGTTTACTTAAGTGCTCCTAAGAACTTTCAGAGCTCTTTAGCAATGAAGTTGCAGCATACATACTTGATTAAAGTAATGATTTCAGTCAAGGTTTCCTGTGTGTTATCAAATGTGGGGTTTTAATCTTTTTTTAATAGTAATCAATTTTTCCTGTGCTTATCTATAACAGATGTGTGACATGTATGTGCATGTATGCTTGTGAAGTATGGAGCTTATTGGGGTTTTATAAATAAATGTCTATTTGCATGTTAGTGTTTGAAGTAGAGAGAGAAAGCTGGTAGAGATTACATTTTAAAGGCTACAGCAAATGATTTGAGGTATCTGAAATGCTACCTCAGTTATGCTAAGCAAAGATTTCTTGGATTACAGAGAAACTTTTGCTTTTGGTGTAAATTTTTCATTTGGAAATGAAAAATGGAAAGTCAAATTATGTGTCAGAGCTACATTTGTATACAAACTGTGGCATAAGTTGTAAACTATGCCAGTGCTGGAAGAAGCATATCTGATACAGGATGATATGTGATGGTCCTGATGATATCTGACTGTCTGGACAGTGGGTTAGGAACATTAATCTGTTCTGCAGACAAATGTGTGGCCAGAATGATAGAGTTTGTTCTTTTACTAATAACTTCTCACTTTTTAAAGTTTGTGATAGTTGTTGTGGACAGCACAGACAGAGAGAGAATTTCTGTGACTAAAGAAGAACTGTATAAAATGTTAGCACATGAGGTGAGTAGACTTTGTGGTTTTTTTGGTTTAATGTTTATTGTGGGTAAGGTCTTCCAGCTGTGGGTAGTGCAGGATCAGAGCTGTCCTCTTCCTGATAGAGGAAGGATCAGAGCTGTTGTCTTCCTGCTTGTCTATTGTCAAGCTCCCAGTAAAGCTGTAAATTAATTCCAAATTACTGAAAAGAGCTCCCACAAAAGTAGCTTTTCAGTTCCTGAGTGCTTCTGAAACAGAAGTTAGGACCCATAAATGACCTTTGTGTTTTTTATACTTCAACCTGTGTTACTATCTGAATGAGATAGTTTAAGAAACCCCATTATTGCCTCCAGCAATTTATTTACTATTTTTGATAATTTGATGATTGCTTAGTGTTTTCTGTTTTTGCAGTGGAGCAGGTACAGCCTTAATAATACCTCTTTTAGCAACCAGCTATAAAACTGAAGAAACGGCCTGCCTTATGGCTATTGTAGCCATCATTCTATGTGTATTTGGAATTACAGAATTTTAGAGTATAATTTGCTATCTGATAAAGAACCTCTTTAAAATTGAGCCCTGTGTCATGTCTAAAACTGAGCTGTCAGAGTCTGATTCATAAATACTGGACTAATGTGTAAACAAGGAGTACCTATTGTGTGACCTGGGTGTCCTGACGGCTTCAGTCTGTGCAGTGCAGCAGGACTGGAGCCCTGATTTTTTGCTGAAGATGTTTATATAAGCTTGACTGTTGCTGAGACAAGTTTAGTGCAAACTGGATCAGTTTGTATGAGATAACATGGAGGACACTGAGCTTCCAAATTCAAGTGTCAGAATACAAAGATGTGCATAAATTGATGGCATTATATACCAAAATAGTACATCTATATTTAAAATATAGCCACTGTTTAGTAGACTTCAGGAAGGGCAAAGACTGTCCATGTATTTCTTCTGAGTGATTATGGTAATCTAAAGAGAAGAAATAAGTGCTTTCCCTAGTGTCTGGAATTTCTAATTTTTGGTGTTTAAATTAAAACTGTGTTTAATATAATTCTGATAAAGTAGGTGTGGCTTTCTTGGTTGTGTTGGAGTGTTAAATGTAGCTTGAGGAGAACGTTGCCATTGGGTCTGCTGCTGTCAGAATTAGAACTTGAGATGTACTCTTCAATCTGCAGTTGCTAAACAAAATCCGCATCTTCTGTTTCGTAATCTATATAAGAAGATGCAGAAGTTTTTAATTAACTGAATTTGAAATGAGAAGTCAAACTCTAAGCAGCATGAATGCCCTTACTTTGTGTTGGGAGTCTATTTCTGTGCTCCAAAAGCACTCATCTAACAAACAATAAATGTGCCCATTGTTTTACAACAGGATGTTTTCAAGTATATTCTGCTAACTCTCCAGATGCTCTGACATTTGAAGAGAACAACAATGCATATAAGCTGAGATGAAAGTCAAATATTTATTTAGAATAGCTTTTCCTTTCAGTCCTTGAAAAGCTTTTATTTCTGCTAACCAGTTCAGCTGAATTTCTGTTAAGGCAAAATTGAGTTGCCTGGGTCAGTTCCTACTATTTTCTGGACCAGTAGATTGTTTGGGAATTCTACTGGTTGTAAAAATGAGTGTGCCTGATAGGCATTTAAGTGAATGACTTGACTTGGCTTTCTGGGAAGACCTTTCTACTTTCAGATGGACAGATTTTCAGTAACACATGGCTGTACCAGTGTAATTCCAAGCATTTTGAGATTAGATAAGCTTGCCCATGCAGTCACAGTTCTCTGAGTTGTTCATACTGATGTTTTAAATATTACATGTGCCTTATAGAGAAGTTTTTTGTAGTGCACTGGTTCATGTAGATGTCTATCCTTTGATTCTAAAGCAGTGTAAGCGATGATTTTGTACAAATACTGTTATCCTTTAAATAAAATATTACTGCATCTTGCTTTACTCTGTCAGAGGCAGTCTTAATGCTTCTTAATGAGTGGGATTAACCAGTGGGCAAGGTTTTACCAGTGCTTAAAAAGTTCTGCTGTGGTAACCTACTCTTGCCCCATGCTGCTGCACAGTCTAGTATTTTGGTACTAAAACCAATCATAACAGTATGGTAATACATGAAAGTGTGGTATGTACATAAAAGCCAGACTCAGGAGAATGCAGTGCTTGGGATAGATACATAGGCAGGAATGACGTGCAAGGTCAGGGTTAAATGGGAGGCCTTGACTGGTGTGTGGCGTTAGTGCAGCTGCATGCATACAGCGATACAGCATGCCTCTGATCACCCTGGACCAAAATTGGACGTTGGTCCAATCCTTGGTCAAAGGATTTTCTGAAGTTACGTGTCACTCAGCGTGCAGCATTTTATAGTTTAGGGTTTTTTGCTAGGGCTTAAGGTCCTCAACTTTGGTATCACATCTTTTGCCTCCTGAGAGAGGCAAAATTGGTAATTTTAAGAGAGAGCTGATTGGTAATAATTTTTTTTTTCTTTCTCCATAGGACTTAAAAAAAGCAGGTTTGCTGATCTTTGCTAACAAGCAGGATGTCAAAGAGTGTATGACAGTAGCTGAAATATCTCAGTTTCTGAAATTGACTTCAATTAAGGATCACCAGTGGCACATTCAGGCATGCTGTGCTCTAACTGGAGAGGGGTAAGAGGTATTCTTGTCTATAGGAGGGGAATCTTGAATCATTTTGTATTTTTATTGTGGTGTTTGGTTTTAACACACATTCCTCCCCTGTCAGTAATAATCTTACATAGTAATCTTGGATTTTTTTTCTGAGCTCAGAACATACTGACTTAGGATCAGCATGATCTGAAAACCAACTTTCACATCAAATCCACAGTCTGTCTCACAGTGATAAATTTTTCATAATTTGGGCCTAATGACGGTGGGGATGGGAAAGACCTATAATCTGTTCAGGTGTATTAAGAGTAATCACCATTAGAGATCACGTCAGTGTATGTCTTGAAGTGCTGGGATCTGAAGTCTCACAAGCATAGATTGCATAGTAAAATCTAGGAAATGCTGCACTCAGTAGATTGTTTCTGAAAACTGTTTTCTCAGTGAAAATTACAGAGTTCTTGGGAAGAATTTAAGTTGGTGCTGTGGACTTAATCTTTGAAGTTAGTCCAAGAAATGTATGTATTCCCTAAAAATTCTCTCTTTTGTTTGCAGACTGTGCCAAGGACTTGAATGGATGATGTCGAGACTTAAGATCAGATGATTTTTAATGACCTCTTTGCACAGACTTTGCTTAAAAAGAGCTGTACCCAGGATTACCTTCACAGTGGCAGAATTAATGGGTTAGATGTATTTATACTGAACTGACTTCGACTTTATTTTCTACATAGATGCACACACACATACCTGTATATAAATTAAGACCATTCAGCAAAAGAAAGATGCGGTTATCGCTCCTGTTTGATTTCTGGTTTGTTTTCCTCTGAAGATGCGTTAAAAGCTCTGATCAACCTTCTTTGCAAGATACAGCCACTTGGAATAATCCAATGTTGAGCATGGCAAAGATGAAGTGAGAGGAAGGAGCTTTTAATTTTGAGTTTTATTATTCCATTGTAGTCCTCTCGAGTTGAAGATGTTGGCTTCATTATTCCAGTAAATTAGCAAGCAAATCAATGGCATAGATATCAACTTTCCAGTATTTTTAAGGTTACTGATGTTACAAATGCAAAATATTTTCCTGTATGTGTACTGTACATATTTGTGTATATTTATACCTCAATTTTAGGTTAATTGCAATCTGTTCAGACCAGTGTGTAAAGCTGAATCAGTATGTTGACAGTAATACTAATACTTGACATTGCCAACATGTCACAAGTTCTTTTCCTTTGTTATCTGTATGGCTGTAGCATCCATCAGGCAGTTGGCTCACCACAACTTTATAAAGAAAACTTTCTCTTAAGACCATTGCTCATTTTTCAGTTAGGGAGGCTGCTGTAATGGATTGGGGCATATAGACTCTGAGCTGCGAGTTACAGTGTCAGCAAACAGTGAGCATTTGCCAAAGAGTTTAAAATGAAATGGGGTTTTTCTTTTTCTTTTTTTTTCCTATGGCAGTCATAATTGGATTTGGTGATTCCAAGAAGTGCATGTCATGCTGTCCTATTGCTGTCCTATGGTACTGCTGCTCTTTTTTTGCAGTGCTGGTCATTTATGGTTCAAGTCTAGTAGGAGTACCTTTAGCTGTCATAAAGGGAAAAATACCATCTTTTTTTTTTTTCTTAACCAAAGAAGAGGCACAAAAGTATGTTTAAAAGTACCACTGGAATCTTATAAACCAAGTCACAATCTGTATTAAGTATTTTTCTGAGGAAGGCATGCTTTTATAGCATAAAATCTATATACCTATCTATATGCAATGGATGGAACTGGGATGGGGAACAAAACAGATGACACTACTTGAAAAGCTGTAAGTGACCCATTCATTGTGTTCCCACAGAAGTTCCAGGGCAGTACTTCTTGAAAATAAAACTTTCTTGTGTGGTCCCCAGGTGAGTTACAAAGAAGCATCAGAGCACTATGTGGTTATCTTCCTGTAGTACCTGATGGGACGATGTCCATATGAAGTTGTTTAGCATTCCTTTTTTAAAGGATACAGGCTTTTCAGTGGGATGGGAGTTGGATGGTTTGAAATGTTATCAGTATTGTGAAGGTGCACATAGCCTTAGCCATAGGCTTTTTTATGTTGGAGATGGATGTTTGGGGAATGTAGCAAAATGAAATAAAACTTTGTTTAAAATGTCCTTCCCTTTGCTCACACATCTGATAAGGATGAAAAAGATATTTTAAAGAAAAAGCTTAGTTTGAACTTTTTAAGGTGCTTATGTTTGGTTACGGGATAATACAGTCAGTGCACCTGCCTTCTCATTTGCCTCCTTCACTGCAGGTCATGTGGGGTATCTGTGGGGAAAAGAAGGGAGGACATTTCAAAAGTTTCTGTTTAACAAAGGCAGGTAAAGAACTTTTTAATATATTTATCTCTTTATGATGCTCATTGGCTAGGGAATCTGCTGTCTTTGGCAAACATTTTAATGTGTACATGCATATATTTATAGTGCATGCACATAGATATTGGTATTTAACTGGTGTATTGCAAAATGTATAAATGTTTGAAGAAACAACAATGCAAAGACTTTCTCAGTTTATCTGATAGTATCTTCAAGAAATGAGCTCTGTGCACACTTGCAAATGAAATGGAATTGTACATTTTCTAGTCTTAAAAAAGAAAAAGCAGACTTGCTTATAAACCTAAGTGTTTGTTTTTTGAGTCTTATGTCTTCTGTTTCATCCCTTTAAAATACTTTGCTTTAGTAGTGTTAAATACTGCATACTTATGTCTGAATCATAGAATCACAGCATGCTTTGGGTTGGAAGGGGCCTTAAAGACCATCTAGTTCCAGCTCCCCTTCCATGGACAGGGACACGTTTCACTAGACCAGGTTGCTCAAAGCCCCATCCGGTCTGCATCCAGTCTACGCAGGTTGTGTGCATTGAGTTTTTGTTTTTAAGAAAATGAGTTACTGGAAGAAAAATCATGAGGCAGTATTCTGCTGTTTACTCCCTCGCTTAAATTTGTAGGTCTTAATATGTCCATGTAGTGAAAGTATGGTGTTTTTTCAAAGGTATGGCTTATGTTGCAACCAGACATTTTGTTTACACATAGGCAAACTTACATTGACTTTTTTTCCCTCTGGGTAACCTGGCCACTTCCACTTTCTCTTTCTGTAACGTCTAAGATATTGCATGGTTCACTTCATCTTTGTTTCCCAGACCTTAGCAGAGTTGGGAATAACTGCACGCATTAATACCACCTGTTTAAAACAATGACTTTTGTGCCCTAAAGAGTTTATAATCCAAAAATTAAATTGTGTGTTGGATAGTGAACAATTCAGCCTTAACGCAACTACAAAAAAGCACATACAATGATGAGTTCTTTATTGTTTTGTGACCCCCCTAGTATCTTAGAGTGGATATGTGCTCTTCAGGAGTTAGAATTAAGTGGTGGCTGGTACCTGCTGATGCATCGCCTGCCTTATAGCATTCTTGACAGGGGTTTAGGAATTGAAGGAAGATGCCCCTTCATTTTAAATGCTGGATTTGCAGTCTCTAGAGGGATTCAAAATCCTCATTTTGTGTGGTTGGTGTGATTGTGTGTTTTAAAGAGAGCAAAGCAGAGTGAAAGTGGTATAGTATCATCCAGGCATTGCGGTGGAAGCTTTTGTAGGAAAGTTCACCTGCCTGGAGGTTCTTCATGCGAACAAGTGTATGTTCAGATACTGACAAGATGAATCTTAGAAGAATATACAAGTAGGTACCCTCAGGTAGCATTGTGCTGTGACGGTCCTTTCCTACACACCTCGCCTTTTGTGTAAAGCTAGAAATGCTTTTAAATTTAGTCCCCTAGTGGAGCTGGAGAAGAGCCAGCAAACTTCTGAACCCAGAACCCCTTTTCACATGTGCTTTTTGTTTACATCTCTTTTTTTCTTCCTGTAGGACCTTTTGCATTTTTCTCATAGTTGTGTCCATAGAAAAGCAAGTTAACTTTGCCTCAGTGCTGCTTTCAGCTTCACTCGTTATTGTTTGGAAGTGATTGTTTTACCATGAGTCATGACCTTGATTTGTATTGCTTTTGTATTTCCACCCTCTGTGTGTTGTGTTGCCTTTGCTTTCAGCTAAAGCTTAACCTTAGTTAACCTTTGTTCTTCATGAAGTTCATTCTTAGGATATTCTAAAGAAAAAGGGAAGGGTCTTTAAAAATGGTTAAGTTTACGCTGCAGAATGCCATTTTACTGCCTTTTTTTTTTTTTGCCATTAAGTCATATTTCAACAACTTAATCCTTAAAACGTTTATTTTGGTTTAGCAGGTAGTAAGCTTGGTAAATAATCTCTATAATATGCTGCCTCTGTGACCTGCAAATTATGTAGGTTTTTAAATTGTGAGGAAAAGCAGAATATAGAGCTTGGAAAATGTGAACAGGGATCTACATGGCTTCATTTTTTTTTTTTTTTCCAGGTGGCTTAATACCTGTTTTCCTATGCATTATATAGTATGTTCTTAGGTGTAGTGGTGTGAATGTTAAACATATCTGATAGGCACCTTCTACCGTCTATGCAGCTCAAGTGCCTGAAACTAATTCAGTGGTCGGGGTTTTTTCTTCCTATGCTACAACTTCCATTTTCCCTAAAATAGATATATTTCTATAAAGGCATTTAAATGTTTGTAAATTAGTGTTTTTTTCCCCTCCCTACAAACTGCTTTTAACATGATTTATGATAATTTGTTACAGTTCTTTCTATCCTCTGCCTTCCAAGCACTTTTCCATTTATCAGGCTTCACATAGCTAGCTTGCTTTATAAAAGGAAATATGAAATTCGTCCTTGTATCAGACTGGTTAGCTATAATTTTTTTCAAGGAACTCTCTTTAAATAACTTACTCCAAGAATACTTGGCCTTGTAAGCATCCTAATGTAAGTAGTTCCTTTTTAATTGGCTAGGAAAACATTATGTTCTTGCGACTGTCAGACTAACTATATCTGAAAAACCGTTTTCACTAATTCCAGTGAATGTAATATTGAGCCTTGAACTGGTACGTCACTGAGCATTACAGGATGGGAATGATTTAATGTCATGAAGAATGGCACTAAGAAAGAAAAATATCTCTGCATATAGTTGTGATATGTATTATAAATACAAATGTGACTTATAATTGTTGCAGTGAATATATTAAATGTACAAAAATGAGAAGCTGTAAGTGGTTGCCACTGTAACTTTTTTACAATGTGCTTTAGAATCATAAGCAGAAATTATATTCTTGCCTTACTAGGATTTTACTGGTTAATTTTTATATTGTACAGAAACTGGTTTTGAAAACTTTCTTCATATCAGATAGCCTTTATCCATAACAGGGTCACACTCATGTACTACCCTTAGCCTTTTAAGCCAGGCCTTCTGTGAGTAAGGACACAAGCTGGGTATGTTTTTTAAGCTTTTCATATTTGTAAATTTAGAAAACTTAGCTCATGCTGAATTAAGGTAGAACATGCTGCTTTACATAGAAGGCTATAAATCGTTGTAAACCATCAGCTAAGTGTTACTCTTGTCTAAATATGTTCTTCATCAAACACTGTGGAAGGTTGAAGAAATGGCGAAGATTTACTCTCCTGCTGAGACATTCAGAGATTGAAAACCAAAACTCCTCAGATTGGAAAGCCTCAGCACTTTTATGGGTAATAAATTGAAGAATTGGTAGTATACGATAGAGGAATGGTAACCGGTCCAGTTTAAACTGTCTCTATATCATGGTTTCCAGAATGTTTGCAGCATGCCCTTCCTGTAACATCCTTTTCCAAACCCTTTAATCCTGTGGCCCCAGTTCTGTACTCAGCCTGTACGTGCTGCTCTAAGTGCGAGTCTGCCTTTCTGTCTCTCCAGGAGTCGTCAAAGGGAACTGACCTCTTTGTCCTTATGCTCTGCCAAGAACTGGATGATAATACTAACCTCCAGCACTAAACCTACAATCCTTTGAGTATAAATTTATCAGATTAGTATGCTAATGATGCAGTTATGTTATAGTATGTTATCTGTCTGGTTTTTATGAATGCAAAATAACATCCGTATATATACATTCATGAATCATATGACCAGAGTCGTATTTCTTTTGATCACTTGTATTTTGTTCTTCTCTTTCTAAAAAGTTGGTCTTCTTTCTGAAAGAAATGCATAAAGTATATGGTTAACCCTGATACTGCAATAAAATTTCATTCCAGAACGTACAAATTTATTGCTTCAAATTAATACAAGACTTGCGAGGGCTGGCACTTCCTGGCTTGAGCACTTCTGTCTGGAACTTCCACATGTTTATCTAAGTAATTTGGCTAAAACTTTTTATACAGCTATTTATTATAATAAAGTTCAGTTACGATTCTATTGAGTAACTTTTCCTGGAATTTTATCAGAATGTGCCTTGAATTGTTTCCCCTTTGCTTCTTTCTGTCTTTCCTGTCTTTTAAAATCTGATTTTCATTTAGTTGAAGGGAATTTATTCACATCCTCTGATTCGTTCATGTCTTCTCAATTCTTTTCTTCTAATTCTTTGTGAAACAAACACAAATTTGGTCTAGAATTGTTGGGGCAGGGAGATGTGTACAAGTATATATGCACATTTACAGACAGTGTCAGAATTGCTAATTCTTGAGAACCTATCAGTATTTATTAATTTAAGATGCAATAACTTGTCAAAATCTTACTGTTTGTGTGAAACCTTTCGTGTGTGTGTGTTGCAGTGAAGCTTTTTAAGCAAAGAGACAATTTCTGACATACTGTATGGGGTTTTCTTGGTGTTCTGAGGATGAGGTGCACTGCTCTGCCACACCCGCCACTGTGGGGTTTGTATTACGAGATTGTTTGGCATTTGGGGCAAGTTGGGTAGTAAGTACGTATTGGGTGGTTTCACATAGAATGGAGATTAAAATGAATGGTGAAATATTCTTTTCCTATAAAAATCTTAATTCCTGTGGTGTACCACTCCTGCATATTCACATACCACCTGCTGGTATTTGCAGCCTTGGGAGTGGTAGGGGATCACAGGTAACTTAGAAAGCAAAAGAGCTGACACCAAAGCTGGGTTAAAAAGTACAGTTGTCATGGTACTGTACTAAAGGTGTGCTGCTCTTTGGCTCTGCAACCTGCACAGCCTTGTTCCACCTGTTAATTTTGGTCTTCTTGCTCGATTTCAAACTGTGCAATATTTGTTATCCATGTGGTAATTTTGTGCAGTAACGTTGTGATTGCAGTCAGATGATGTTAACAGGGTTCTGAGGAATCAGTAAACACATCCCCCCTATGGTATGAAGGTGCGAGAGATGGAAAAATGCTTCTCTGCATTCTCTGTCCTTTGGCCTCTGTTTTCAGCTGTGTGACTAGCGGAAGTCTTCTTCCTTTGTGACACCCTTTTCCCTTTTGGGTGGGCTTTTTCTCCAGCTGCTCCCTGATGCCAGCTGGTGTGGCTGTGTCGCATGTTGCTGTACTCCACCCTCCAGCAAAAATCGTATGGAGGAGAAGGAAGGGTGAGCTATCTTCAGCGCTGTGCCACGCTCAGGCTGCCTGGAGCTGTTTCTTTTACTCTTAACAAAGTTACTCCTTGACTTTGCTACAACTTTTCTGAAAACTCTTATTTTCCTTTTGATTCTGATTAAATACAAGGTGATTTTAACACACACACACACACACACCCCATTATCACATACTTATTTTTGTCTATTTCAGTACAAGGGTCCTCTGAACTCTTTTGTTTCTTGGGCCATGTGCCTGTTGCCTGCCTCTCATGCCCTTGGTGCTGTCTAATCTCGGTCTGTATATCACCACATTGGTCCATTAAAAATACATGCCAAATAAGTATTCCTGAAGGTTCTTATTCCAGTATGATTTTTAGCATTAAATACCTTTATTTTAACGGCACACGAAAAAAATGTTCACTGCTGAACTCCAGCCGCTTCTGCATCCAACAACTGAGTATCTTGTGTAGAGCTGAAATGAGCCTTGGCACAGTCATTTACATCTGGTGTATGAAACTGTAAATAGACTTTGACAGAAAATGCTGTTTCTTTTTGGCTTTTTGTCCTTGACTGTATGAAAGTTAAAGACTGCTGTGTTCTTTGTTGTGTTTTTTTTTTTTAATTAAAATTGCAGTACATTTTTTCAATCCTATTGCTGCTTTTAAGATTACAGGTCATGTCATGACTCTTTTCTTGCACATTAATTTATTTTCTCGGAATATGGCTCTTCAACATGAGGTCAAATTAGATGCAAAACTACAGAATAGTCTGTGTCTTCAGGGTTGATTCTTGTTATTAACTTCTTTGTTTTGTCTTGCTTTTTGCCCCTTATTCTTCAGAATTGGAAGGCTTTTTTCCTCCCCTCACAATCTCTATGTGTATATGTATCCGTAGCCAAACAACTGGAGTCATGCAAAGAGATGCAAATCATGGAATAGTAACAGTGAAAATTGTCTGAATTTTTTGTTCATAAAGATTTAGTATAAATGCTGGTATTGTTGAAGACTTCCTTCTGGAGTCCTTGTACTGTTGAATCCTATCAGACACCCCATTACTACCGATATGTACAGCTTTGAAACATGAATTAATGGACTAATAAACCTAATAATTTGTATTAAATTGGCCAGATAATTTTTTTGTTTCAGACTCACTGTACCATTTTCAGAGTAAGCTTGACAACTTGATTTTCAAAGTTATACATGTAATAATTCCGAATTTGCTTAGCAGAATAGGTTTTGCCAGTGCAGCTGCCGCTGTTCGCATTGGTACATGTGCATTGGTTTTAAGCCCATGGGTAGTGATGACTTGGGTGTATGTTTGGTCTCATCCTTGGGGGATGGTTGCTTCGGGAGAGTTCAGCTTGCACCACGTGAGGTTCTGCAAGTCCTTAGGTCTTCCCTTACTGGTGCAATATGGATTTCTTGTGCTTCTAGAAAATACTCAGTTGTATACAGTGTACTGAGCAACAAATAATCCAGTTGCTTTGTTGGTTGAGAAGTGTTTATTTTGTTTCAAAAGGCTTTAAATATATTTGACAGCATATTTGAGTACAGGTTGATGTTGTTGGTAGCATGTTCCTGTAAGCAATATGCTTCTGTCAGTATGTGTGGATTTTCTCTTGCCAAAGGTGCTGTAGTATTTACAGTGTAGTGAACAGTCTAGCTGATAAATGAAGGAATGTCTTGAACTTTACTTGATACATGAATCTTGGTGAGAACTTCCAATACCTTATTTTTCATCCAAACTGTCATAAAACATGTCTTGAGAAACAAAGCAGGAGAATTACTCATTTCTTAAGAACGTGTTAACATAGTAAGGGACACATGTAAACTGTAAATTTTCTCTCTCCACAGAGTAGCTCCTGCGTGTATCAGCCAGGAGCATAAGAGAAACTAGAACTGCTGTGAGTTAATAAATTGTCACCGATCCTTGTATCGTGACTACACTTGTTGAGGACTAGCGGTGTGCAAGATGCTGCAAAGGAGCCTGTAGCACAGTTGCTCCACCCAGCCATGGGTTGTGGAGGGTCTTTGCTAAGCTGGGCCAGATGTCTCATTGGTCAGCGTTTGCCGGCTGTGTGGTGTGAGTCGGTAAGACTGCTGAGACCCTCTCTGCCAGGACCTTAACTACCCACGCACCTTCCTCCTGCATGCACATACATTCTACTCGTCACCTTTGGCCCTCCACAGAAAATGCAAAACTGCTTATATATCCGAGGCAAAGTGGTTAGAACAACTGATTTTACATAAAATGTATTAGCCACTAGCGAGATCTGTTTGGGATTTTTTGGTTCTGGCAACAGCAGCCCAAGTCCAGTTGCAGATGTTGAATCCTGGTGTTGCTCACTCTCTTGATGCCATATACGAAGAACCCTTTAGTGATCTATGCACTGATAAACTGCCATAGCAAAACTGGTTTTGTCAATGTTCGACTATTCCTTAAATGTCAACTTCTGACGAGAGGAACAAGCCCTTCTTTGCCATCCTATGGACAAGAGCAGCCTGCGCCCTGGCAGAAACTTTTTCCATCACATGTTCAGACCATAAGTTCTTATCCGTCTTGTTGCATTTAAAGAGAATCTTGGGATAATGCAAAAAAAAAAAAATGCATGTATTGGTAAGTTAGGTAGCTCTTAAATGAGATAAGGTGGGAAAATCCCATTCTTACGTGGGAGTTTTGCTGCCAGTCACCAACAACA